TGCAGGAGTAGAGATTGTTCCATCCCCAATAGTAGGTGCTCAATAAATATCTGCTCAAGAAAATAGAAAATGTGAATGTGTATAGGCAGATAACATTTTCCATCCAAGTTCAGGACAAAGATAAGCACATACCTGGACCTTCTAGGGTTAGGGACTCCTGCTCCAGAAAGAAACATACTGCCATCAGATTCTCAATGGGGCCATGAAATTAACAACAGCTGACTCTCATATTCTCCAGCCTACCTCACCTTTTCCCTGCCAACCTTCCCCCAACAACATAACAGCCTCACATTTAGTATTAATAGTATGTGCTTTGGTCTTAGCAATAAATATATGTATATATATATATATATACATGTATATATATATATATATATATTTTTTTTTTTTTTTACCCAGGCTGGAGTGCAGTGGTGCAATCTCAGCTCACTGCAACCTCCACCTCCCAGGTTCAAGCGATTCTCCTGCCTCAGCTTCCTGAGTAGCTGGGAATTACAGGCGTGCACTACCACACCCAGCTAATGTTTTTGTATTTTTAGTAGAGAATGAGTTTCACCTTGTTGGTCAGGCTGGTCTAGAACTCCTGACCTCGTGACCCACCCGCCTCAGCCTCCCAAAGGCTGGGATTACAGGCGTGAGCCACCGCTTCCGGCTTAGCAATTTTTAAAAACACAAAACGAGGTCAACCTGTGAAAAGCCACTCAGACTAACGCCCTCAGAGCAAAGTCCCAAACTCTCCTGGCGGTGGGGATGTTGTAGGCCTTGTCTACTTCTTCATCCTCATGGGCTCTCATTTGTTTCCTCTTCTCCACCCCACCCCACCTTGATAGCCCAGCAGCACAGACTGGGTTCTGGGTTTGGGGTTCCTAGGCAATAGTAGGGTGTTTTCTCATGCCTAGACTCATGCAGTGCCCTCTGCCAGTCGTTTCCTTTGCACCCAGCAATTTCTGCCCTGTCTTTATGCCTCAGCTTAGATATCTCTTTGGGGTTAGGTGACCCTCCTTGGGGCGCCCATAGGCTGCATCTGTCCCTGACGATGCACACCAGATATTGAACTATAGCTGCTTAGTTACAGACAGTCCTCTCTGTTAGCTTTGAGGGTATCTGCCATGTATTATGCATCGTTCCAATCCCCCTAGCCTAGCCGGGTGCTAGCCCAAGTTATGTTGCTTACTACAGATTTGTTCAATTAGTGAATGAATGAATAAACTGACAACTTGTGTCTGGTTCATGGGTACCAAAAAATGTGTTAATTGGATAAATGAGAGAGTAATGGCAGTTCGAAGTTCATGTCTAGAGAAAGATCCAGATTAGGGCGTTCAGAGATGAGTAAAACGCAGCCTTCAGAGAATTAACAAGGAAGATAAATCTCTTGAAGGAGCCAGCCGGAAGGATTAAAAAAGTCATCCATAACCCGGCCGGCTCCGGGGTCGGGTCCCTCTCTAGCCCCGCCCACTCCGCGCCAATGGGTGGTCATGTTGCCCGTTAAACCCCGCCCCTTTCGCCTTGAGGGGCGGGGCCGGCCACTCCAGGAGAGGGGACTACGTTTCCCGGCGCGCCGCGCGGCCGGGGCGAACTAGGAGCCGGAAGTGGGGCGCGCGAGGTCTAAGGGCGCGAGGGAAGTGGCGGGCGGGGACTAAAGAGGGGCGTGCAGGTAGCCGGCAGGCCGGGGTTCGCAGGCATGGCCGAGGCCAGGAAGCGGCGGGAGCTACTTCCCCTTATCTACCACCATCTGCTGCGGGCTGGCTATGTGCGCGCGGCGCGGGAAGTGAAGGAGCAGAGCGGCCAGGTAAGCGTTCGTGGGCCGTGTGCGAGGGCCGCGTGCAGGATGCGGAGATCAGCGGCCCGCGCCCAGCCCTCAGGCGACCCGGCGGGCACCCAGAGCCGGGTCCCGCCGTGCTCAGCGGCGCAGGCCACGGGTACCGGAGGAGCCGCAACCTCTGCCTCGCTACTGCGACTTCATTTCCCCTGGGCCTCACTTTCCTCATCTGTGCAGTGGGCGGGCCGGAACGTGTGCTCGCAGGGGGCGAACTTTGTAATTCCCGCGTCCCTTACCTCCACGCCCTTTCTGGTAGCGGCTGTTTTAAATTTCCTGAGTCTCCCGCCACGTGGCTAGGCTCAGCACGGCCCCCCTGGGTCGAGGAGGTTGCTGTGAGGTGGATTGTGACCAGCCCCTTGGGGGCGCGCCTCGGGAAGGTATCCCACAGCCCCTTAGTTGAGCTGGAACTCAGGCCCTTAGCGATTGTCTGTACTGAGACGGACAGCTTTGGGACTCGAACTCGTGGTACAGTCATTTCTTGATTGATTCATTCAGCTGTTAATCCAGTACTCAGGGTGCTTCCTGGGAGATGCTGAGCACCGTCCTCCAGCCCTCCGGGAGCTTACACTCTAGTAGGGTAGAAAAATCAAAGAATCACGAAAGTGACTATATGTTTAGCACTACATTAAGTGTTAAGAATGAGAGGGATGAGCTGTGCACGGTGGCTCACGCCTGTAATCCCAGCAGTTAGGGAGGCCGAGGCAGGCGGATCACCTGAGATCAGAAGTTTGAGACCAGCCTGGCCAACATGGTGAAACACTGTCTCTACTAAAAATACAAAAATTAGCTGGGCTTAGTGGCTGTGGCACGAGAATTGCTTGAACCCAGGAGGCAGATGTTGCAGTGAGCCGAGATCCTGCCACTGCACTCCAGCCTGGGCGATGGAGGGAGTCCCCGTCCCAAAAAAAAAAAAAAAAAAGATGAGACGGGTGGCAGATTGCCCTGGTCAGGACTGCCTTTCAAAGCAAGTGGCAGTTGATTTGAGATCTAAAGGAAGAGAGGTGAATATTCCAGGCTGAGGTGTAAATGCCCTGTGGAGGGAGGGAACTTGTGTACACACTGGCCTCTGGCCTCGAGAAAGTCCACTCTCTTGAGCCCAGGAGTTTGAGGATACAGTATGAGCAGTATAAGTCATGATTGTGCCACTGCACTCCAGCCTGGGCAATAGCAAGACCCTATCTCAAAAATAATTTTTTTTTCGAGCCCATAGCAGGCCAGGTGCCATGGCTCATGCCTGTAATCCCAACACTTTGGGAGGCTGAGCTAGGCGGATCATTTGAGGCCAGGAGTTTGAGACCAGCCTGGCCAACATGGTAAAACACATCTCTACTAAAAATACAAAATTTAGTAGGGTGTGGTGGTGTGCACCTGTAGTCCCAGTTACTTGGGAGGCTGAGGCAGGAGAATCACTTGAACCCAGGAGGTGAAGGTTGCAGTGAGCTGAGATTGAGCCATTGCACTCCAGCCTGGGCAACAGAAGGAGACTCCATCTCAAAAAAAAAAAAAAGTCCATAGTGGCTGAAGTGTGGTGTACAAGGGCCAGATGCCCCTGGAGAGATGGAGGCAGGGGGCTGGCTGAAGTGGTCTGGTGGGCAGTTTGATCTTCCTTGGAAGAGCAGTGGTAAACCAATGGAGAGTTTTGAGCTGATGAGACAGTATCCTGAGTAGTCAAATCACTTTACCTTGTAGTTTAGGCTCTGTTTCTAATACTTGCTGTTAGAACCTCCTGGAGGGACTAAAGGGCGAGGGACGATAAGGCGTTATCTATGCTTTTCCCAATTATCTCTGAACCTCATTTGCTCTTTGTGCTACAGTTATACCACTTCACAAATAAGGGGAAAAAGAGATAGTACTAGTCTTCATTGGAGCAAAGATATTCTGCCCTCATGGAGCACACATCCTAGTAGGAGCAGACAGGTGACAAATAGAAAAAGTTTAATAAGTTAATGATATAGTATATCTAGTGATGTTTGGTGCTTGCTATAAAAATAAGGCAGGCAAGGGGTAGGTATAAAGGATGTCAGAGTCCAATTATAAGTAAGGTAGTAAGGGAAGCCTCATTGAGAAGATGTCATTTGGACAGAGACCTGAAGGAAAGGAGGGGGATTAGTTAACAGAGGAGCTCTGCCTGACTCCAGGTGCTGCACCCTCTTGGCTACTCTGCCCAGCTTCCAGACACTCTCCACCTGTGCCCCACATTGCTTAGCCTTTTTGGAGTACTTGATATCCTGGCTTCTTGACATTTACAGAGACAGTGGGCTCTCCGGCCTCTGCCCCAAAGGCCTGGATTCCACCTGGTTCCCTCTGCTTCCTCCAAGGGACTGGTACCTTTTGGGCCCAGTCTTTTCCCAGCAAACTAGTGGACTGTGATCATGCCACCTGGATGCCTCAGGTATCTGGGCTATGGTTCATGCTTTGGAAAGATTGGCTGGCCAAGTCTTTGAAAGCCTTTTTAAAGGTCAAGGGTGGGAAAAACCCTGTCTCGTGGCCTCTAGGCACTGATAGTGTCAGAGAGGCTGGGGGCTGAATAAATGCTAGCTTGGAACATTCCAACTCTGGCCGCTCAAAGGGGCCTCTCACCGTGTTGTCCTAAAAGTTTTAGCTGGAATTGCTTGTCCTTCTTTTCTCTGGAAGGTTTTGGACAAAACTGGCAGGGCCAAGCAGATATACTTCCCAGAGCAAAAAGACCCTCTTTTTTTCTTTTTTTAAAAGAAAGGGTATTGCTCTGTCGCCCAGGCTTGCGTGCAGTGGCACAAGCATGGCTCACTGCAGCCTCGATATCCTGGGCTCAAGTGATCCTCCCACCTCAGCCTCCTGAGTAGCTGGGACCACCAGTGCATGCCACCATTCCCAGCTAATTTTTTTTAACATGAGATAGTCTCGTTATGTTGCCCAGACTAGTCTTGAACTCCTGGGCTCAAGTGATCTTCCTGCCTTGGCCTCCCAAAGTGCTAGGATTACAGGTATAAGCCACCATGCCCAGCCGAAAAGACCCTCTTCTGAACCACCTATCTGTGCAAGTCATGAGTTTGGGGAGAGCTGGGCCAAGGAGGACCCTTACTGTGCTGGGGATTAATTGTGGCTTTCTCTTTACCTCTCTGCAGAAGTGTTTCCTGGCTCAGCCCGTAACCCTTCTGGACATCTATACACACTGGCAACAGTAAGTGGTGGGGCCAACAGGGAGGAGTAGGGACACCCCAGGCAAATCAGTGTGGAATAAGCTGGGATACCTGTCTGGTCTAAGATCTGTCGCCATAGCTCACTGTGGACACCATTGTTGCCTCCAGAAAGCCGGTCACAGCACATGGATGGGGATATCTGGTAGTGGGAGGGGACGTTGAGAGCTGTGATCTCTTAAGAACAAGAGCTTCTAACCAGCTTGTTTATTCAGTTGATCAGCATTTATTGATTACCTCCTGAAAGCCAAGTCCTGTTCTTAGTATGCATATGTTGTCACAAGTGAGACAGACATGGTTCCTTCTTTCCTGCAGCTGACATTTTAGTCAAGGAGGTAGGCATGAGTCAAAGAATGAAACAAATGAATGTAAAATTACAGTAGTAGTAAGGATTACAAGAGAGAAGAACCTGTTGCCACAGCCACATAAATGAGTAAGCCTGGCTTCATTTGGAGGTCCAGGGGAAGCTTCCCTGAGATGATGTTTGACTTGAGAGCTGCAGGAATTGGGAGAGAGCTCACTAGCTATGCAGTAGGTATAAAGCGGCAGTAGGTACTATGCAGTAGGTACCTGCCAGCGGAAATTGCTAATGCTGGGTCCTGTGGCTGGTGGACAGTACAGGTGAGGCTAGATTATCGCATGGATAGCCATGTGAGACCTGGTTATCCATGGTGAAGAATTTTGTCATTACCCAAGAGCAGTTGGGGTCATGGCAGGGTGAGAAAGTAAGGTGACTGCTCTGCACCATGGTGAGACTAGTCGGACACCGTCATCCAGCCAAGAGCTGATGGGGCTTGAGACAGGGGTAACAGGGTAGACAGTGGATTCCCAGAGTCACAGGGATGAAACAAGGGCCAATGGACGGATGGGAGAGGAAGTATCTGATTGACTCCATGTCTGGCTAATGTACCCATGCATAGAGCTTGAAGGGAAACCAGTTTGGAGGGAAAGATTTCAATGACATGTTGAGTGTGAGATGCCTTTTAAACATGTAAAACTTAAGTACTCTTCAAGGAAGGGGGACTCATCCAAGGGTATGTCAACAGAGGAATGGCTTGAAAATGGAGAGAGTAATTGTGTTCTCTTCGGGCACTGGCCTGACCACAGTTGAATAAGGGAGTGAAGGACGTGAAGATCTATCCCGTGAGGAATGGTGCAGTGTATAGAATTGCCTTAGATGAAAAGGAGGCAGGTGAGGGATGTGAGGGACCGCTGCACATCTTTGAGGACCAAGAGTAGTACATTCTCTGAGGCCCTGGATACAGAAGTGGGCCCGAAATGGACCTGCTTTAGGAAGACAGGTTTCAGCTCCTGAATATAAGGACTTGATCATCAGAGCTGTCTAAAAATGAGGTAGGCTACAGTGGAGGTAATGAGCTCCCTGTCATTAGAGGTGTGTAAACAAAGGCAGGAATGGTGTGGAAGGGATTACAGCCTCTAGTAGAGAGCTAAGATCATTGAAAACCCTGTCAGCCCTCAGTTCTTGGCTGTCCTCTGCTGCTGAGGAGGGCTTGGAGCACAGGGCCTCTCTGACTTGCCCAGATGTGTGGGTGTTACTCGTAGTACTGCCCCTCCCCAAAAAACTGCTTCAGTGAGCTGTTCTGTACACCCTTCCCCGCCACTGGCCCCTTCTATGGGTGAGGGGTGATGAGTGGGACAAGGACCTCACACCCACCACAGGCAGCCTAGCCTAGCAACTCCTGGCAGAGTTCAAATCCAGCAACTAGCTGTATAGCCTTGAGTGGGTTTCTTCGCCTCTGTGAGTCTGTGTCTTCATCTATAAAATGGAAATAATGATAGCAATGATCTCATTGCATTATGAGGGTTAGACACAGTGGTCTATATAAAGCACTAAAACTACTGATTGGAGGCTTCCCCCCCTGCCCCAGTATTTATTGAGCACCTACTACAATGTAGGCAATATACTTGATGTAGCTGGGAACAAACCAGAGAAAAATTCCGTGCTCAACATTTTTGTTGGGGGAAAAGAGGCAGAATAAATTGATACGTGTTAAAATGAAACCTGTTTTTAACATGTGAATCCTGACAAGTGGCTTTCCTGGGAACAAGGAACCCAAGTAGCATATCCCAAGCTGTGACAGAGCAGTGTCCATCGCGGCTGGGAAACCTGGGGCCTAGACAGTGACTCCCTGGGATGGGGGTCAATGGGGTGAAACTTGCAAGTCCAGGGGCTCAGCCATCTAGGTGCTTATCCTACCCATGCCCCAGACTTTCTTTGCCCTGAGCAAGCCACTTAGTTGTTTAGTTTTTGAGACATTTGCTAGACACTGAGGATGCTGTAGTGAGCTGCCAGCTGCCCCCTCCCTGGGCCTTTCTGTGTAGGGGAGGAGACTAGGAAGTAAGTAAAATAATAGGAGATAGAGAAAAGCGCTGAAGAAAACGAAACAGGATGACAGGGCAGAGCATGCCTTGGCGGGGGGCAATCATCGAGGACCTCTCTGGGGAGGCTACATTCAAGTTGAGACATGAAGGACAAGGATGTGGGCAGTCTTCCCAGAAGGCACAGCACTCACAGCACGTTCTGCAGGAGGAAGCGCCTGGGTGGTTCTGTGAGGTGCCTGCATGGGTCAGTTCCTATCACAGAGACTGGTAGTTGCTGCAGCTGGTGTATAACATTATCCAGCATTCCTGATTATTTTAAAGACTAATCAAGAATTGTAAAAGCACTTTATGAATTGAGTGAAAATGTGGAATACAAAATTGTGTCTATACGGTGTTTTCACCACTGTTTACATTCCATGCACATTGCCATTAAGAGCTGGAAGGATGCGGGAAGGTCTGTGTAGTCAAATCTTGTGGAGTTGTTCTGTCACCCAGTTGGTATAGACAGTCACCCTTGTCCTGCAGAACCTCAGAGCTTGGCCGGAAGCGGAAGGCAGAGGAAGATGCGGCACTACAAGCTAAGAAGACCCGTGTGTCGGACCCCATTAGCACCTCAGAGAGCTCGGAAGAGGAAGAGGAGGCAGAAGCCGAAACCGCCAAAGCCAGTAAGAGCCTTGCAGCTTTGGGAACAGGCGATGGAATACTGATTGTTCTAGGGCAGAGTCTACCTCCAGCTTCTCTTATCACTAGAAGACCTAAAAGATCTTGGGAAGAAGGTTGGGAGGGCACCATGTGTCTATTACAGTATTTATTTCAGCCCTTCCTCTGTGCCAGGCATTGTTTCTCCAGGCTCTAGCGATGCGAGGCCAAACCAAAACAGCAAGATGGCCTCTTCAGTCTCATTTGGTGTTCATACAGTGGGGCCCAGGAGCTGCCCTGTTACAGGCTCCCAGGTGATTCTTACTAGCTGGAAAGAAGACACACGTTCAGAAGTAGTGCTCGCGGGGTTTCAGAAGGCAGCTAGTGGACACCTTTTCTGTGTGACCTGTGGGATGCTTCAGGAATTGCTGATCTTGTTGTTCTTTTCGGATTGTACCCATTAGCACTGGAAGGCTGTACTGGGTGCTGGTTTTACACCATTTGCAGAAGTAACTCAGTCAAAGCTTTACAGCCCCTTCTTCCCCCAGGTCCCAGGGCTCCTTGTGCTTTCACCAACAGCAGCCATAACTCTACAGAGGAATTGCTATGTCTCATGTGCATTGTAGTACCTTTTTTTGCTTACGTTGAAGAAAAATCTCTTAATATTTATTTTTTATTTTTCAAGATGAGGTCTCGCCATGTTGCCCAGACTGGTCTTCATTTCCTGAGCTCAAGCAGTCCTCCTGCCTTAGCCTCTTGAGTAGCTGGAATTATATGCACATACCACCATGCCCAGCTTCCTGAGCCTGCTTTCAAAGATGTTTGAGATCATACTGGATATATATTTTATTATTATTTTTTTGAGATGGAGTTTTACTTTTGTCATCCAGGCTGGCGTGCAATGGCACGATGCTAGCTCAGAGCAACCACCACCTCCTAGGTTCAAGTGATTCTCCTGCCTCAGCCTCCCGAGTAGCTGGGACTAGGCATATACCACTACGTCTGGCTAATTTTGTGGGGTTTTTTTTGTTTTGTTTTGTTTTGTTTTTAAAGAATGGATGGAGTTTCACGACGTTGGCTAGACTTATCTCAAACTCCTGACCTCAGGTGATCCACCCACCTCAGCCTCCCAAAGTGCTGGGAGGCATGAGCCACTATGCCCTGTATATATATATATATTGCTTAATTTTATATTAGAAATGCAAAATGAGTTTACTTTGAGCTGTTCAAGAGCATATAGAAGAAAAATGAAAGTTTTCTTGTTCCCCTACCCTGCTCCCCATCATTCCTAAGTGCATCTCCCGGTAGGTAGCCTTTAAAACTTCCTCCTTTGCCTCTATGGTCATTCAGACATGTATTCATACATGCATATATACAGACCTGCATGCTACTTGAAACAGAAATGGTAAAATATCATACTGATTGGCTATTTGATATTAATCAGTTTTATAAGCTGTGATAATGGAACTGTAATTATACTTTTTTTTTGTTTGGGGCTTTTTTCTTTCTTTCTTTTTTTGAGATAAGGTCTTGCTGTGTTGCCTAGGCTGACCTTGAACTCCTGCCCTCAAGTGGTCCTCCTGCCTCAGTCTCCTGAGTATGTAATTTTTTATATATATGTATATGTATATATATATTTTTTTTAGATGGAGTCTCGCACTGTCACCCAGGCTATAGTGCAGTGGCGCGATCTTGGCTCATTGCAGTCTCCGCCTCCTGGGTTCAAGCAATTCTCCTGCCTCAGCCTCCCGAGTAGCTGGGACTACAGGCATGCGCCACCATGCCCAACTAATTTTTTTGTATTTTTAGTAGAGCTGGGGTTTCACCATGTTGGCCAGGATGGTCTCAATCTCTTCACCTCGTGATCAACCCGCCTTGGCCTTCCAAAGTGCTGGGATTACAGATGTGAGCCCAGCGCGCCCGGCCGTAATTATATTTTTTAGAAAGTCCCCGTTGGGGTGGGCCTGGTGGCTCACCCCTGTAATCTCAGCACTTTGGGAGGCCAAGGTGGAAGGATCACTTGAGCCCAGGAGTTAGAGACCAGCCTGGGCAACATAGCAAAACCCTGTCTCTACAAAAAAATTTAAAAATTAGCTAGGCATGGTGGCATGCACCTGTAGTTTCAGCTGCCTGGGAGGCCTGAGGTGGGAGGATTACTTGAGGCCAGGAAGTCAAGGCTGCAGGGAGCCATGACCATGCCACTGCACTCCAGCCTGGGCGACAGACCAGGAGTGTCTCAAAAAAAAAAAAAAGAGTCCTCGTTGGCATCCTAGGCAAAATAGTGAGACTTTGTCTCTGTGAAAAATAAGAAAATTAGTTGGTATGGTGGCATGCAGTGGTAGTCCCAGCTATTTGGGAGGCTGAGGTAGGAGGAGCACGTGAGCCCAGGCATTGGAGGTTGCAGTGAGCTATGAATGTGCCACCGTACTCCAGCCTGGGCAGCAGAGCAAGACCCTGTCTCAAAAAGGAAAAAAAAAAAAAAAAAGTCCTCATTGAGAGAAACATGCTGAAGTATTTGTGGGCAACATGATAGGATATCAGGCATTGTCTTCAAAATAATGCTTTGGGGAAGGATGGATGAGATAACAGAAGAGATGAGAAGTTGCTAATGGTTGGAGCTGCCTGGTTCTTCCTGTCTACTTATGAATGTTTTTAAAATTTTCCATAATTATAAAAAGAGAGAGATGGAATGAAGTGCCAGGAAAAGAATTAGATCATGCTATTCACCTCAGCAACATTCTCCTTAACAATAAGAAATCTAAGATTTATGTAGACAATACTCTGATATAAAAGCACTGAGAATCAGTGAATGTCAATATGTAACAGGGCCCAGGTGGCATGGTTCAGCTACCTCTCCACTGAGAAGCCATTTGAATTCCAGGCAACTTTCTCTGTGGACCTGGGGCTGGCTGCCTGCCTGCCTGACCACTGCCCCTTCTTCCTGAGCAGCTTTCAGGGCTACAGTGTGGTAGTCTGTGTGAATGGTACTCACTGCAGTGTGCAGTGTCTACTAGGCAGTCCTTTTCCCTCCAGGGGTCTCAACATCTCATGCTGCAGGGGAGTTGGGAATCCATCAGGGATGCAGACACGTAGCTTCATGTTACCATCCTCTTGTCTCTTGCTTCTGGTAGACCTGGCTGATGCATCATAGCACTCATTCCCACAAGTCTGGGCTTAGTGTCAGATCCTCATGCCAGCACCAGGCAGCCAATACCAATTGAATTGTTAGGTGAGATGAAACCTGTTTGCCATTCATAGATGAGAAAAGCTCATCTGGCTCCTTTAGCAGATATTTGTTTCTTGCAGCCCCAAGACCAGCATCTACCAACTCCTTAGTCACGGGGGCAGACTTGACATCAAGCATGAAAGAGAAAGCCAAGGTGAGTGGGACTGCCTTTTAAGCTATTGCCTATGGGATTTGAAGTGCCTGGTAGGGGATAGTCTTCTGTGTCAGAGAAGGATAGGGCTTGAGTAATTGCCCTACCTGTATTCAGATCTCAACCTGTGTCCCCAGCTGTGGGATCTTAGTGAGTCCCTTCACCTCTCTGGGCCTCAGTTTACTTTTCTATAAGATGAAGGTGATGCCTGCTGCAGTGGGCCGCTGGGCACATTCTACATCTGGGATAGGCGATTTCTTTCCTCTTTCATCCCTGGATTCACCTTTCACTCAGCAGAGCTTGACTAATAGCTGTTACCTTCCAGGCACTGTGCTAGGTGTGGAGGCACTGTAGTGCTCAAGACACCTGTGATTCTGAAACTCTAAAAGCATTTTCCAAACTGGAAACTGCACAGAAAACAGGATGCCATTTTCTGATAATCCAGAAAGCAGAGTTAAAGACATACATGTATAAAGAATTGTGCCTCTGCAATTGCCTGGAGCATTAGCAACAGGATCTCAAAGTAATATGAAATAATGGTAAGATCAACAAACTGCTACTCAGCAGTTAGTGAATAACTACCATGTCCCAAGAACTGTGATTCTGTTCTCTCAACACCTCTGGTGAGAGGAGGTACTGTTTTTAGCCTCACTTTATTTATTTATTTATTTTTATTTTTATTTTTTTAAGACAGGTTTTTACCATGTTGGTCAGGCTGGTCTTGAACTCCCGATCTCAGGTTATCCGCCCGCCTTGGCCTCCAAAGTGCTTGGATTACAGGCGTGAGCCTCACTTTAAAGATGAGGAAACAGATTTAAGGGGTAGTTTACCCAAATTTATACAATTAGGAAGCGGTAGGATAGGGCTCAGATGGAAGTGGCCTGTGCTCTTAGTTCACCATGCCATACCAGATGTGTCTGCCACTTGTGTTCTCTGTAGGCAGAGACAGAGAAAGCCGGCAAGACGGGAAACTCCATGCCACACCCTGCCACTGGGAAGATGGTGGCCCACCTTCCCTCTGGGAAGTCTCCCAGGAAGTCAGCAGAGCCCTCAGCAAATACTACGTTGGTCTCAGAAACCAAGGAAGAGGTCAGCATCCCAGCTTTTGGAGCTGCTGCCAAGCCTGGTAAGACGCCCCCACCTCTAGGAACCAAGTCCCCAGAGCTTGGGCTGGTAAGGCAGGCCTAGGCATTGCTTTGTTGAGTTCTGGGACATTTCTGGAATTCAAAGGTTTGTCTCCATGACAGCCAGGTTCTTGCACCTTAGACCATTTTCCCTTGCCCTAGATGAGGGAGGGTCAGCTACAGGGACCCGGCCTCAGGCTGAACAGCCCACCTAGTGGTTGGAGCATTTTCTGCTTTATGACTCCTTGGTGAGTTACAGGGACCATTGGCAGCTCGGGGACGAAACTGAAAGGCCCAGCTGGGTTTGCTTCCATTTCCTATATAGAGTAACCATCTCTCCAGCCTGCGTCAGTCGATATGATGGTGTATGGAGGTTCTGTAGACCATCAGGTGCCGGTGTATGTTTGTTGGGTCCCCTTGCAGCCCTTCCCAGGGCTTCAGAGATGTGTGGGAACATAGGAATTGTGATGGTACCCACTTCAGAAGGGGGCTTCACGGCTCAGTGTATGTGAGGGGCGAGTGCTCAGCACCTGGCTTTGATGAGCACCTGGTTTCGGGGAAGGGGCTGGGGAGGGGATGGTGAGGCTGGAAAGGGAGTCCCTCAGTCCCCTCCATGTCCATCTCTCAGGGATGGTGTCAGCGGATCAGGCCGACAGCTCCAGCGAGGACACCTCCAGCTCCAGTGATGAGACAGATGTGGAGGTAATTGCCACCCATCCCTAGGAGTTACCCTCTCCCACGCTGTAACCCTCCCAGGAACCTGGCTAGGGCTTCAGACACCAGTGGGCCCAAATCAGTTCAGCAACTATGGCAGGGTGACCGGGAGCTGGAAAGGCTACAGCCAGGAGGGGCAGGGAGAGGAGCCTGGTGCTACTTGCTGCACTCTGAGTGTGAGAACAGCCCAGGGGTGGGAGAGGGATACCCTCCTGCTTGTGAAACTAGACAAGGCCTCCTGGCAGAGGTGTCCTGGAGCAGGGCCTCGAAACACAGTGGGCTTTACTGGGAAGGAGTATGGAGGAGGTAGGGCATTCCAGACAGGAAGTGGGGCAAGAGCAGGGCCCGGGGCAACAGTGTGGCTATCATGTGGTGTGGCTAGGGCTGCGGCTGCTGAGAGGGTTCTGGGCCCACTGGTGAATGCCAGGCCTAGACACTTGGCTACACTTGGGCAGGACTCTTGGGTCTGTGAACTTTGACCTGGAAAAGGTCCCCCAGGTTACTTTTTTATTGTGTACCAAGGTATCCACAGTTAGAAAGATGTTTTAGAGGGAGAACCAGCACGAGTCAGGGATGAACTGATCTGGGCCCAGGAAACTTTTCACTTTACTGTGATGCCTGCCCAGTAACCCTGTGAAGGCTGAAGCTCACCCCATCTACCCCAGGCCTGGCCAAGGGCCTCCCTCCACCTTTCGTCCTCACCTTTGGGCCCTGGATACAACCAGCCATAACTGGCAAGGACACCCCTGGCCTTGCCAAAGGAAAGGAGACCACTCCCAGCCCTCCATAAACACGCAGCCTCAATGGGCTGAAAGCTATGCAGAGCTCCAGTAGTAGATGTCCCAGAAACCCAGGGCTGCAAGGGGTCTGATGGATCTTGGAGGTGGAAGTAGGGCACTGATTGCCTGGGAAATGTGTGAATTGTGGAAGTCTAGGAAAGATCTCACAGAAGGAAGGAAGGAATTTGCCCAAGGTGTCTAGCAAGCCAGGGGCAGGCGTGGTGTTCACATCTTGAACTCCTGGCTCTCAGGATGGGTACCATAATCAGATACTTGAGTTTAAGGATGAGCTCTCCTGATTGAGAGACGTGGCCCCTCTCTTAGGCTGAGACCTCTGTGTGCCAGCTGGGAGACAAACATAATGGTTTCGAGATCTGTCCCAAAGTCACGACAGTCTGGGGTTCCAGTGGGGGGCCCTGCCCCTTCATATTGATCATGAGTGATTTTACCCCTTTAAGCTTCTTGTACTTTTCTGGAAAATGGGTCTAAAGCTAATAACTGTCTCAGGGACTTGCATAAAAATCCATTGACATTAGGAAAGAGCTATATCAACTGTTGAAGCACCTGATATAGAAGCTTAGGGGAAACCGTTATTCTTTTTTTTTTTTTTTTTTGAGACGGAGTTTCGCTCTTGTTACCCAGGCTGGAGTGCAATGGCGCGATCGGCTCACCGCAAGGAAACCGTTATTCTATTATTCATTTTCTAATTCCATTCTCCTCTTCCAGGGGAAACCCTCAGTAAAACCAGCCCAGGTCAAAGCCTCAGTTTCTACCAAGGAATCTCCAGCAAGAAAGGCAGTCCCAGCCCTTGGAAAGGTGGGGGATGTGACACCCCAAGCCAGAGGAGGGGCCTTGCCCCCATCCAGCAGGGCCAAGAAGCCAGAAGAGGAGTCAGAGAGTAGTGAGGAGGGGTCTGAAAGCGAGGAGGAGGCCCCTGCAGGGACACCAAGCCAGGTGAGCCCCAGAGGAAGGCTGCCTCTTGGAGGGTCCTGTGGGTCCCCCAGCAGCCTGAGTGCGTGCGCACCTCTGCCACTGGAGTTGGGGAGAGGGAGGGTGGTGGTGTGAAGTTGAAGAGCAAGAACAGCCTGCTTCCCGCAGGGCAGTCCTGCACTCTACTTTGTCTGTGACCAACTTTGCCTCAGTTTCTCTGACTAGTAAATGGGCTGCTGTCCTTGTCCCAGCCAGTCCTGCTGTGAGGGACTTGAGAAGTTTTGATTGCCTGGTCCTCTGGCTTCTCAGGACAAATAAAACCCTGAGCATGCAAATACCACATTGGCTAAAGGGAATCCAGTTCCCTTCCCCTTCTGCTGGGAGCTGTCCGTTGGGTAGTGGGCAGGGTTGCAGCCCCAAGGCTCTGGGTGCATCCCAAGGGCAAGTGAAAGCAATGGAAGTCAGAGCAGGAAGGTGGAAGAGTGGGGGTCACCTACCCAGCCTCATGCCTGGAGCAGGACAAGACGGAGGCATGGAGTAGATAACAGGTCCCTGTGTTAGCTGCTGGCAAATGGTAAAGAGGAAAATGGGGTGGGAGACATAGGAATGGCAACTTAAAACAGTGCTCAGGGCTGGCCTCGGGAGAAGGCGTCTCAGTGAAGACCCGAAGGAGGAAGCACTCTTAAGAAAGTCAATCCAGGCAGCAAGTGCCAAGGCCCTGAGGTGGAAGTAGGACTAGGAATTGGGACAAGTTGATGTTTCCACCCTATCTACAGGGAGCTTTGACTCCTCGGCTCAGTCTACTTTGCAGTGCCTGGGGGCTACCAAGTGTTGCAAGGGTATCCATCTTTGAGAAGGAACACAAATGTGAACTCTTTTTGAGACAGAGTCTCACTTTGTTGCCCAACCTAGAATGCAGTGGTGGCAATCATAGCTCACTGCAGCTTCTCTCCTGAGTGGCTGGGAATATAGGCACACACCTCCACACCCAACTTGTGTGTGTATAGACAGGGTTTCACTGTGTTTCACAGGCTGTGGGCTCAAGCAGTCCTCCCACCTTGGCCTCCCAAGGTGCTGAGATTACAGGTATTAGCCACTGCACCTGGCCATAAATGTGAACTTTTATGTAAAATCCTTCTTCATGTTGGCTCAAAAATTAAAAAAAAGAGCTAGCCAAGCAAGGCCTATCTGGAGCAGCCTGCACCTTCTGCATGGGAAGGTTCTTAGAAGATCAGAGCTGCTGTTTTCTGGGGTTGTTGGCCCAGGGCTGAGCACTCAGGGCCTGCAGCCACCCTACCAAAGCCCCAAGGCAGTGCAGAGCCCACAGAGGAAATGGGGCCATGGGTGGAAACGTTGCTCCATGAGGCTGAGGATGGGTTTTCCAGGGGTTCTGCTGCTGTCCACATGCATAAAGTCCAGCAAGGGCCTCCCTCAGACCCATCCCCATTTTCAGACAGCCTCTCCATTCCTCCATTCTTCCCTGGGCCTTTACACACCCCCTCCCCACAGCCCAGTCAGATGCTCCCGACAAGCCAGCACCTGTGCCTCCAGAGCTCTCTGGCCCGTGGGAGCCCAGTAGGGGATAGGTTGTAACAAACCAATGTGCTGGGGCAGCCCAGGGGCATCAGGGAGAACCATGTTAAGGAAGTGGTATCTCTTAAGGAGCCACAGGCTAAGGAGGCAGTGGCCAAGTGAAATGGAACAGGGGGCATGAAGGCTCCAGGGGTGAGAGAGTGTGAAGCTGATTTTTGAGAAACCAGGAGGCCAGTGTGGCCAAAGTGTCAGTCAAGGTGGGAGTGGGGATGGAAACAGGGGGTTCTTAGGAGCCTTATTAAGGCCTCTGGACTTTATCCTGAAGACATCACCAGAGAATTTTCACAAGCAAGGGAACAAACTTCTTTTTTCACTAGGTAAAGGCCTCTGAGAAAATTCTCCAGCTCAGAGCTGCCTCTGCCCCTGCCAAGGGGACCCCTGGGAAAGTGGCTGCCCCAGCACCCCCTGGGAAGGCAGGGCCTATAGCCTCCCAGGCCAAGGCAGGGAAGCCAGAGGAGGACTCAGAGAGCAGCAGCGAGGAGTCATCTGACAGTGAGGAGGAGACATCAGCCGCCAAGGTCCTGCTTCAGGTAAGGAGGAGGGAGACATGCCGCCAGGCCCCTCCCCAGAAGGCCTTCTCAGGACCTTTTCTCCCATTCAGGCGTGCCTCAGACCCCAGCCACTTACTCCCCTCTCACTGTGGCAACATGTGCCCTATCTCGTCTTCTGTACCTAGTGTCCTGTGTCTCCTCACACGTCTGTCCTCTGAGCTGTGTTCCCTTGTTTCTCCATGTGAAGGCCTCAGCAAAAACCCCTCAGGTCAAAGCTGCCTCAGCCCCTGCCAAGGAGTCCCCCAGGAAAGGAGCTGCCCTGGTGCCCCCTGGGAAGACGGGGCCTGCAGCTGCCAAGGCCCAAGCGGTGAAGCGGGAGGAGGACTCGGAGAGCAGCAGCGAGGAGTCGGACAGTGAAGAGGAGGCACCTGCTCAGGTGAGGTAGAGGGAACGGGTGGAGAGCAGCCACGTGCCTGGGCCCCAGCACCTGCATGAGTGTGGCCACCTTTGCTGCATCCTGCTCCTGTCTCCTCACACATGGACCCCCCAGGCTCTCTCCTCTCATCCTGTTTCTCCCTCCAGGCGAAGCCTTCAGGGAAGACCCCCCAGGTCAGAGCTGCCTTGGCCCCTGCCAAGGAGTCCCCCAGGAAAGGGGCTGCACTGACACCCCCTGGGAAGACAGTGCCTGCCCCGACACCCCCTGGGAAGATAGGGCCTGCAGCCACCCAGGCCCAGGCGGGGAAGCGGGAGGAGGACTCTGGGAGCAGCAGTGAGGAGTCGGACAGTGACGAGGAGGCACCTGCAGCCATGAGCACAGCTCAGGTGAGGTTTGAAGCTGCCCTGCACGGCCTGTGCCCTGCGGAAAGGCCTCCTGCAGGCTTGCCTTTTCCTCTCTGAACCTAGAGCCTTGTGCAGCTGGCTTCGTTTCCCCTCCTCCCACCTACATCTTCACTCACTTTCTCCTTTTGGACTCCCACCCTGATCTTGTCCTGTGTGTCTCCCAGGTGAAGCCCTTGGGGAAAAACCCCCAGGTGAGACCTGCCTCCACTGTGGGCACGGGGCCCTTGGGGAAAGGTGCCAGCCCAGTGCCACCTGGGAAGGTGCCACCTGGGAAGAGGAAGGAGGACTCGGAGAGCAGCAGTGAGGAGTCGTCAGACAGTGATGATGGAGAAGTGCCCATAGCTGTGGCCCCAGCTCAGGTGAGGCCCCTTTCTGTAAGGTTCTTTTCTCCCCTCAGAGTGGTGCCACCTGTGGGCCTCCCAGCCTCACACTTGAACTCTGTCATCTTGGTCTTTTTGAGACAGAGTGTTGCTCTGTCGCCAGGCTGGAGAGCAGTGCGCCATCCCGACTCACTGCAACCTCCGCCTCCCGGGTTCAAGCATTTCTCCTGCCTCAGCCTCCCGAGAGTAGCTGAGACTACAGGCTCCCGCCACCTAGCCCAGCTAGTTTTTTTATTTTGTAGTAGAGACGGGTTTCATCATGTTGGCCAGGATGGTCTCGATCTCTTGACCTCATGATCCGCCCACCTCGCCTCCCAAAGTGCTGGGATTACAGGACTGAGCCACTGCACCTGACCCTTGGTCTCTTAATATCTGTACACACTTACTCTGGGCTCCCTCTCCTGATCCTGTGTATCTCACTCCAGGAAAAGTCCTTGGGGAAAATCCTCCAGGCTAAACCTGCCTCAGGTCCTGCCAAGGGGCCCTTGGGAAGGGGGCCTGCCCCAGTGCCCCCTCAGGAGGCAGGGCCTGTAGCCATCCAGGTCAAGGCTGAAAAGCCCACAGAAGACTCAGAGAGCAGCGAGGAGTCGTCAGACAGTGAGGAGGCACCAGCAGCCATGACTGCAGCGCAGGTGAGGCCTGGGGAAGGAGGCTGCCACATGGCCTGATCTGTCACACCACAATCAGCCCCACGGAGAGCTGTGCTCCCTCAGGCAGAGCATGGGTTTTGGCTGGTGGGGCAGAACAGCAGTGGGAATCCACCTCAGAGCCAACTGGAGACTGAGTTCTGGAACCTTCTCCAGCCTCTCTTTGTGTCCCCTCAGGCAAAACCAGCTCTGAAAGCTCCTCAGACCAAGGCCTGCCCAAAGAAAACCAATACCACTGCATCTGCCAAGGTCACCCCTGTGCAAGTGGGCACCCAAGCCCCCCGGAAAGCAGGAACTGGGACTTCAGCAGGCTCATCCCCAGCTGTGGCCTGGGGTGCCCAGAGACCAGCAGAGGACTCTTCAAGCAGTGAGGAGTCAGATAGTGAGGAAGAGAAGACAGGTCCTGCAGTAACCATGGGACAGGTGAGGCCTGTGTTTTCTGGGCGGGCCTCAGGGCCACCCGTACGTGGTCCTTTGGACTCCTGGAGACACCTCTCTTCCACTTGTCATCCCAGGCGAAGTCTGTGGGGAAAGGCCTCCAAGTGAAAGCTGCCTCAGTGCCTGTCAAGGGGCCTTTGGGGCAAGGGACTGCCCCAGTACTCCCTGGGAAGACGCAGCCTTCAATCACCCAGGTGAAAGCTGAGATGCAGGAAGACTCTGAGAGCAGTGAGGAAGAATCAGACAGTGAGGAGGCAGCCGCGACTCCTGCACAGGTGAGGCCTAGAAGGAGCAGGCCTATCCGACCCATACCTGTTCCTGAGGACGGGCTTGTCTGGGGCTGGTCTTGCCCCAACGTGTGCAGAAGCCTCGGGTAGCCTCAACACAGCCTCCTTCCCTACCTTTCATTCCATGTCGCCTCTTGGCCATCAGAGCTCCAGGGTCTCTGTCTTGTTTGCCTTTTGAGCTCCCGTTGATTTGATTCCCTATGATTTCCATGAGCTCTGGAGTTCCCACCCTGCCAGATGTTGCCCTGGGCTGGGACTGCTGAGGTCCTGTTCCTCAGGGAAGTCCTGTCTCCAAGAAGGTTGGACACAATCTTCAGCATGGAGTGATGGGGTTGAGACAGAGGGTGTGAGCCTGGGCTGCACACTGACAGGTGAGAGCATCTAGGGCTTTTACAGGAGGTGGCAGCATCTGAACCATGGGATGAAAGAGTTGGGCAGGGAGAGTGTTCCAGGCAGAGGAAGCAGTCTCTGTGAGGCTAGGGGATGGGAGAGTGCCTGGGTTGGGTGCCTTGCCACAGGCAGCACATTGTGGTAGGATGGATGGCAGGGGTTTAGAGCCAGACCACGTGGGTGCAAGTCTCAGCCCCAAGCCCTGGCAAGTGCTGTAAGCCATCAGAGCCTCTGCTTACTCTTCTGTAAACTGGAAATCAGCCCTCACAGGTTTGGGTGAGAATTTAGGTGAGATTTCACCTGCCACACCCAGCAAAGGACCTGCACACAGCAAGCTGTCTCTGTCACCCTGAGGAGGGACCAGGCTAATGTGGACCAGATCAGGAGTGAGGTCTCCCAGCCTGGAAGAGCTGAGAGATGGCTTACTCCCTGCACTCACCCACCCACTGTTTATTGTTTTTAATTGTCATTCTATTTTTTTCTATAACCATTCAGAAATTAGTCATTTCTTTTTTCTCTGTACCAGAGCACATATTTCTACCAATTTTTTTGTCCCCCTCTCATTGTTGACTTGTGGGACCCCAAGTTCCTAGGATTCCTCCACTGAGGTTTTTAAGCTCTGCAGGGGCCCCTTCCAGAGCCTCCTCTCATCTTTCCCAAACTGCAGGCACATTTCAGACCCAGTGCCTTACAGAGTTTTATTGTGCAGATCACTTAAATATTTATCTTCCCTTCTGACCCTCCCACCTGTACCATGAGGTGCCTGTTTTTTTTTTTTTTTTTGATTTTTGAACCATGGACTATTTCAAAGTAAGCTGTTTAATTTCCAAATATCTGGGATTACCCAGGTTTCTTTTTGTTGATTTCTAATTTAATCACATTGTGGTTGGAGAACATATTTTGTATGATTTTAATCCTTTTTTGTGTATTGAGACTTGTTAGGTCAAGTTAGTCTTTGTGTCTTATTTCTTGTGAAAAACATGACTCCCCTCTGGAGGACTTATGTGCTTTGCTGATGAGCACCTTGGCCTTAGTCATACTTGGTCCACACTGTGGGGAATCTCTCTTCTTGAAGTCCTGATTCTTCACCTCACTTGACCTCATGTGTTTGAGGAATTCTGGGGATGGGGGTGTTTTCTGAAGCTGACCAGCTACCACCCCTGAGTGAGGCAGGGGCCTTGAGATGCTGCCAGATTCCTCATTCCGTTTCATATTAGGCTTGCTATCATTACTGTCAAGAATCTTACTCTGGGAATTCCCCTCTTTCTTGCTCTTCTATTTGTTGGAGTCCCTGACAGGCCTTTTGGGGTTCTCTGGATGTTGGTTAAGACTAGGTTAAGCTGAAGAAAACCTTGAACAACAAGTATCTTGTTCTGCCGTGGCTGCTTGAGCTCCATCACACATCTGAGCCCTGTCAGTACTGGAATGCTCCAGCTACCCTCGGCATTCCATTTAGCCTGGAGGAGGAAGAGACATGTTTCTGACCTGTTATGGCACCCGACTTAGGTTCCATGAACCAGAATTTAATGACATGGCCACCTAGCTGAAAGGGAGCCTGGAAAACATCTTTGTTTTGGGTAGCCTTGTGCTTAGCTAATGCTAAGGAAGGCATGCACAATTATGAGTGTGTGTGTGTGTTATGTTCCAGACATCATGTTAAACTCTGAATCTCATATTTCGTCTTCACAATAACCCATGTAGGTGGGCCTTATTATTATCCCCTTTTGATAGAGGATGGAACTGAGGCCCACTGAGGTCAAGTGATGTGCTCAGGTTCATACAGCTATTGCATAAAGGAGCCAGAATCCAGACTTGGGCTTGGGCCCCAGCTGTAGAGTCTGTGTTCTTGGCTAGCTGCTTTTCTCTATCTCACCTTCTCCCTGCTTCATTCCCTTTTTTCCACTCAGGTGAAAAACTCAGTAAAAAAAACCCAGGCCAAAGCCAACCCAGCTGCCACCAGAGCATCTTCAGCGAAAGGGACAATTTCAGCTCCTGGAAAAGTTGTTGGTGCAGCTGCTCAAGCCAAACAGAGATCTCCAGCCAAGGCAAGTGGGGACAGAAATCACAGGAGGTGTGGAGGGTTGGGGCAGACAGGAGGACCACTCACTGACCCCAGCCTGCAGAAGGGCCCTGCATGGGCAGGTCACCCACCCAGAGTTGTACTGTGGTGGGGAGTGGGACCAGAAAGGAATCGCTTCCACCTCCAATACCATTATCCCCCTGCAATTCAGGTAAAGCCACAAGCAAGAAACCCCCAGAACAGTGCCGTCTTGGTGAGGGGCCCAGCATCTGTGCCACCTGTGGGAAAGGCAGTGGCCCAGACAGGACCAGAGGAGGACTCAGGGAGCAGTGAGGAGGAGTCGGACAGTGAGGAGGAGACAGAGATGCCAGCTCGGGTAAGCTGGAGAGGAGTAGGGGGAGAGCATCCCCTACATGGGATATAGCCATCTTTGCTGCATCTAGCTCCTGTTTCCTCACATGTTCGCCCTCTGGGCTCTCTCTTCCCTCATCCTATTTCTCACTCCAGATGAAGCCTTCAGGGAAGAGCCCCCAGGTCAGAGCTGCCTTGGCCCCTGCCAAGGAGTCCCCCAGGAAAGGGGCTGGCCCAGCACCTCCTGGGAAGACAGGGCCTTTGACCGCCCAGGCGGGGAGGCAGAAGGATGACTCAGAGAGCAGCAGTGAGGAGTCAGACAGTGATGGGGAGGCACCGGCAGCTGTGACCTCTGCCCAGGTGAGACTTGCCAGGCCTCCGAGCCACCAACACCCACTCCTCAGTTAGAACTGGGGTTTAGAGTGGGGCGGATCACTTGAAGTCAGGGGTTCAAGACCAGTCTGCCAATGTGGTGAAACCCCGTCTCTACTAAAAATATAAAAATTAACTGGGCATGGTGGCAGGTGCCTATAGTCCCAGCTACTTGGGAGGTTGAGGCACGAGAATCCCTAGAACCTGGGAGGTAGAGGTTGCAGTGACCCGAGATCACCCCATTGCACACCAGCCTGGGCAATTGGAGTGTGACTATCTCAAAAAAGAAAAAAAAAATGAAAAACCAGGGTTTAGGGCCAGGTGAGGAAAAGGAAGGCCAGGTTAAGGCTTAAGGCTCCAGCTTCACCATGTCCTCCTCCCTCTGCTGTCATCCACATCTCCTTAGGTAAAACCTGCTATAAAAACCCCTCAAACCAAGACTTCCCTAGCTAAAAGTGTCTTGGATCTAGATCGAGGTCCAGGTCTCCACCAGCCCCCAAGCTAGGCAAGTATCTCCCATCACGGGACATGAGACCAAGAATCTAAATGCTAGTTATTGTGCATACATTAATACAAGATGACTCTCCCAGTCAGAGTCCCAAGGAAGCTTGGAGTGTAGCCCTGAGGCACTGGGGAGATGGAGGAAGTCACATCCCTCACATTGGCCTTGGGGGTCTCACATAGGCAGGTGTATCTCCTCAGGCAGGGCTTGTCTAACTTAGTGTAAAGCCTGGGCCCTGGAGAGTGGGGAGAAAGAAAACCTGAACGATTCCCTAGGTCTGCGTGCAGAAGGCAGCGAGATGGCTAAATCCTACAGAAGTGTAGGGTGACAGGCTCCAGCACTGGCAGGCTCAGATGTGTGATGGAAATGACTGATGCAGGCCTGGCAGAAATGATGGATGTCAGGAGAGACAGTAGATAGTGGTAGCAAGTAGGGCACACTGGGGAGCCCTTGCCCCATCCAGAGGGACAGTTCTATCGGCTTCAGCCAGTTGTGACTGTGGAAATGTACCCTCTGTGTGGCCACATCTTCCCTTTCTTAAGGGAAGCTGGAAGTCACTGTGCTAGGCCGAGCTCCATAACCTCTTAGATTTCTGTTTTCTTCATGAGTAAAACAAGCACCAAGATGAACACTCCCTAGCCCTAACCTCTGCCTTTGATACACCAAACCAACAATGACTGGGGTGAAAGACATTGGCCCTGCACTTAAGGTGCTCACAGTCTGTGGGGCAAGACAGGTGACCAGATTATCACAGTGACCTATTTCAGCTGGTGGTGCTGAAAGGCCACTGAATGGCCAGAAGAGGAGGGGATGATTGAGCTGAGCCTGAAGGATGACCAGACACAAAAGTGGAGAGGGGCCTTCAGTGTGTGCAGAGGGGCTGGGCATGGAGGCGCATAGTCACTGAATGCAGTTGTCCTGCAGGCTGCAGGCCCTCCCAGGTGCTTGTTACTGGTAGATTTATGGAGGGTCTAAAGCCAAACGAAGACATAGGCCCCAGCCATGTTTTGGCCTGTGTAGTTTTTTTTTGTTTGTTTTTATGTTTTCAACAAGTTTCTCTATCCATCGAAATGGCCTAAGCTGCAGGAGAAAGCCCCATTCAAAAGAACTTAAATGGACCAGGCACAGTGGTTCATGCTTGTAATACCAGCACTTTAGGAGGTGGAGGTGGGCAGATCACATGAGGTCAGGAGTTCGAGACCTGCGTGGCTAACATGGTGAAACCCTGTCTCTACTAAAAACACAAAAATTAGCCGGGTGTGTTGGTGGATGTCTGTAATCCCAGCTACTCAGGAGGCTGAGGCAGGAGAATGCTTGAACCTGGGAGGCAGAGGTTACAGTGAGCCAAGATTGTGCCATTGAACTCCAGCCTCGGTGACACAGCAAGACTCCATCTCAAAAACAACAACAACAACAACAACAACAACAAAACATAAAAAAGCTAAAATAAGGGGATTAACTGTCTTATAACGCACGAAGTCCCAGTTTCCAGCGGCTGAAAAGCTGGTTCCTTCAGCTGAGCATCAGTAGTGGCCAGATTTCTTCCATCTCTGTGCTCCACCAGCTTCATGGTCATAGCTGGGCTGCAGCATCTCCTAAAGTGCTGGGGGCAGGCCAGGCACAGCGGCTCACACCTGTAATCCCAGCACTTTGGGAGGCTGAGGCAGGTAGATCACTTGAGGTCAGGAGTTGGAGACAAACCTGGCCAACATGGCAAAACCCTGTCTCTACTAAAAATATATAAAAATTAGCCAGACGGAATGGTGGTACTGGCCTATAATCCCAGCTACTTGGGAGACCGAGGCAAGAGAATTACTTGAAGCCAGGGAGGTAGAGGTTGCAGTGAACCAGGATCATGCCACTGCACTCCAGCCTGGGCAACAGGGTGAAGAGAGCAAGACTCTATCTCAAAAGAAAGACTGAGGGTAGACTTAAGGCTCCTCAGACCTCAGGCTGGACATGCTACCCCTTTAGCCATAGACAAAGTGCTGGTAGTTCCCATGACTAGCTGGGAGGAAGGACCACCCTCCCTGAAGCATGTGGTAGGCGCCACTGAACAGAGTGAAAGTTCTATTAGCAAGGAACACATTGGGGCATGGCTTTAGGAGGCAGCCTGCAGTGTGCATCCGTAGTTGCCCCATTTAAAAATTGGAACTGACAGGTACAGATCTTCCAGCTTCTCTTGAAATTGGAAGCTCAGACAGCCTGGGTCCTACTTTTTTGCTAGGTTGAGTAGTGAAAGGGAGCGCCTCTGCCCCAATAAGGACCACTGAGCTGCCATCACCACCAGCATCTCCACCCTGATCCCTTGAGCCCTCCTCTGCCCTCTGACTGCAGTGCTCACCAGTTCAGCCTCCATCATCATGCCTGCCATAGCAGGAGGGGATGGTAGCTAGTGGAATACTTCTAGGCAGCTCCTGCTTTTAGGAGGTGTTACAACCAGAAGTGAACTGTGCTGGGACCACTGGCTTATGCCTGCAACTTGTCCTAGGCTGCTGTCACCTCTTGTCCACACCTTGGGCCAACAGCCCTACAGCCCTCAGGTTTTAGCTGCATCAAAGTCATATATCCCTTTCAAGTTTGGAGTCACCTCTGGAAGGAGACTAGCAGGGTGGAAGCATGTTTCCAGTGGCTGTGGTGCAGGTCAGGCCAGCAGCTATCCCTGTGCATGTGCAGGAAGGGGCCAAGCTGCCTTCCCTGGAGACCAGAGTGTCTGAGGGTCATTACCTGCTGGTTGTTTCCCCCTCAGCAGATATCCCTCTCCCCCACCATGTGCTTATCCAGGTCTTGTCCCCTCAGAAGGATGGTAACTCCAAACCTGCCAGAAGCAAGACCCTGGTCCCAGCACCTCCAGAGAGGAACATGGAGGGGTCCTCAGAGAGCAGTGAGGAAGAGCTGCTACTGACCCAGGTAGGCCATGCCTTCTCTCTGTAGACGCTCCAAGTACAGAGCTGGGCTGGCAGGCCTTGTGGGAGAGGGCACATCTTTCCCATTGGGAAAATCTTGCCATACTTAAGCAGCACCTCACAGCTTCCAGAGCTCTCTCCTCTATTGTGACATTCATCTGAGCCCTGTGAGGCAAGCAGCAGTGCACAGTTAAACATACAGGCTTCAGAGCCGGGTGGTGTCGGGGCGAAGCCTGGCTCTACCACCCACCGGCTCTATGGTCCTGGGCAGATGCCTTGCCGCTTGTGTGAGGCTCAGCGTTTCAGCCATAAAATGAGGACAGTACCAGTGCCTCCCTCTTTCCTTTGTGTACTGGTGCCAGCACACAAAGTACTTGCCACAGTCCCCTAACTAAGAAAGGGTACCTCTTAACTGTGAGGAGGGCAGGGAATGTTGCCCCATTTGACAGATGGGGAATCAAGCCTTAGAGTTGAAGCAGTTTCCCCAAATTCTCATGATTCATAAGAGGCTGAGGAAAGGTGCAAACACTGGTCCCCTGGCTCCCTACATCTCCGTTTTCTGTTTAGGACTGAGAGTCTTCTCGAATCCTGTGAGCTTTGCCCAGGACCCTCTCAAGTGCCTGTGGCACACCTTCATGCACTCTACTGCACCCAGAGCTTAAGCCACGGTCTTGCCCAGGCTACACCCCCAAGGGTGGGACCAAGTCCACCTTATCTCCCTGTACAGAGGCCCAAGTCAGCCATGCTGGTGTGGTCCAAGCTTCCATGTGAACCCTAGCCCTTCCATCAGACACCATTGCCCTTTGTCCTCCTCTAACCTCAAGCTCCCAGAAGTTTCTGCCAGGTACCTTAGAGCACCCGTTCCCCTCCCAGGACCTAACCACAGATGTTGGAGTCCTGCAATCTCCAGACCAGAGTGGTCTCCTGAACCATCTCCCCTTGAATATCATATACCACCTTTTTTTTTTTTTAATTTTTTTTTTTTTTAAATTTGAGACAGAGTCTTGCTCCGTCATCCAGGCTGGAGTGCAGTGGTGCGACCTTAGCTCACTGCAGCCTCTGCCTCCTGGGTTCAAGCACTTCTCTGCCTCAGCCTCCTGAGTAACTGGGATTATAGGTGTGCACCACCATGCCTGGCTAGTTTTTGTATTTTTAGTAAAGATGGGATTCCCCCATCTTGGCCAGGCTGGTCTTGAACTCCTGACCTCGTGATCCACCTACCTCAGCCTCCCAAAGTGCTGGGATTACAGATGTGAGCCACCACACCACCCTCACATTCTTACCGGTCCATCAATAAGGTCAGATGCTGCTTGCACACCTCCAGCAATAAATAGGGTGCTCACTGCCTCTCTCTTCTCAATAGCACAGATTACAAAAGTAATGAACTACAACTAACATCTGGTAATTCCCTGTGTGGCAGGCACTATGCGGTGCCCTGTATTTGCATTTTTCTGTTTAATTTCCACAACAGCCCCATGAGGGCAGCTCCCTTTGTTACTTGCCTTTTGAGGAACTGGGAATGAGGCTCAGAGAAGTTGAGAGACATGTCCCAGCATCACATGGCTGATGACAAGTGGACAGACCTGGTATTTGAGCCCAGGCTATTCACACTCTGACCTGTTGCCTGGTACTGCCCCAACACTCCCCTGGGCTTGGGCATTGCCCTCTGGCTTGATGTGGAGCCTTTATGAGGCCGCCTGACTCTGAGGGATCCAAACAGCTGGGAGGGAGGGGGCCGCTCTGGCTTTCTCTATGGGGGCGGACTAACACAATTAAAATGAACATCATGCTTAAACTGAACCATTTAATTGGTATGTTAGTCCTGAAGATTCTGGAGTCCCTATTTAAAAAGCAGAAGGAAAAGAAGTCAGCAGTTTATGCATCCCCACAGGAGGATTCAGGGAAGACAGTCATAGCCTGGGGAACTGTAGCCTCTGCCTAACTGAGAGATCTTTAGTTCCTAATCCCTAGTTCACTGATTATGATTATTTTCATTATTGTACATTTACTGAGCACTCTATTGACGGGTTTCAGTCTGATTTTATTATTTAGCCCATCAGTGGGGCAGGGGATTGAGGCCAGGGTGGTGGGCAGAGCCCCAGGCTAGGAGGCAGGGATAGAGACTGTGGCTCCATTCCTAGGCCCCTCACTCTGCCTCCGCCCTTTTGTGCAGAGCAGACCTCAGGCCAGAGTCTGTGCTGTGGCCTGGAATAGCTTCCAGGTTTAAAAGAAAACAAGTATGTGAGATGATGGATGTTAAATAACTTAATTTAGCTATTCTGCAATGTATATGTGTATCAAAACTTCATGTTATATACCACAAATGTATGCAATTTCATTTGTCAGTAATAAAATTTTTTAAGGCTAACTTGTTCCATTATTTTGTCAAAAAGATGTAGGCCCCGCTCTCAGAGTTTTAGGTTGAATCAAAGAGAAAAAAGAAACCTATAAGAAATTAAATCTGGGTGTTAAATTGAGGCCTAGCATAATTGGTTCTAGAAAGAGCTCCAGTCTGGTGCCTGGAGAACTAACTTCTAATCCTGGCCCTGGCACCAGTTTGCTGGTCACCCTGGACAAGGCCACTTGCCTCCTCTGAGCCTCATTCATCTCAATCCCTGGGATAAGACTTCTTGAGTGGGTGGGGTGGACATTGAGGTTCCAGGCCATATCCCCAAAGGGTAGAATTTCTCAGTCTCCTGGGGTGGGGCTGGCCTAGATCTGTTAACCAACCCCTAGGCAGTTCTGAGAGAGATTCTTAGAGGAGTAACACCTTTGTGGTTATGTCCCTTGCCAAGGTCCACAGCCTAGGCCATCAGCCCCCTCTGTGCCCCAGACTTGGCTGGAATTGTAGGCACAGTTAGAATGAGCTCAGCTTTGACAGGAGGGGGTGAACACCATCCAGAAAGCCCCTAGGTGTCAGACCTGCAGGTAGGAAGGGCATCCTTGGGTTCCCTGAGTCCTTATTGCCCACTTCCTACAGGGAGGTACAGCCAAATGTTCAGGCAGTGCCGGTTTTGCTGCTTCACTCCCATGAGTTTTTTTAAACTGACCCCAGAACTGCATTCCTGTGCTTTGCAATTTCCATAGTGCATTAGAACCCCTCCGGTGAATGAACCGAGGCAGGGATTACTCCTAGCCCTTTTATTAAACAGGAAACTGAGGATCACAAAGTTCAGGGGCTTGACCACACAGTGAAGTCATGACAAAGGTGGAATGAGAAGCGGGTCTTCCCCCACACTCTGGGCAAGCTTCACTACCCACCTTTGTGAACTCTACAGACTTGATCCTTGCACTCACATGGTAGGAGTGCAAGGATAATGTACTTGTGCCCTGCCTCAGCCCCCCACAGCCAAGCCCCCTGTACCACCTCCCTCCTACGGCCCAGAGGCCCAGTGGGGTGGCGTGGGCAGGTGGAACTAGGAGGAGGCTTTTGCTGCTGAGCTGCTTTTAACATCCCAAGACGCTATTGTTTGCCTCAGTGGGTTCGTTGCTTCTCTTGTCCCCGACAATCTGTTCCTGTCTTCTCACATATATATAGATCCCCCCTCCCTCAACTGTAAGCCTTCTCCCACTTTCCATCCTTCTCTTTTTTATATCGTGGGAAGGAAGGCTCTGGAAGTGGCAGATCAGAGCAGCCATGGGGGAGGCTATTTGGCAGGGGTAGGAAAGGCCTACTAAGCCCAGCTAAGCTTCCACCCTCAGGCAGGCACCTTTCTGTTTGACTTTTTACTTTATGCCTCTCCACAGTACCTTGCACCCTGAGGAGCCAGGTGTGTTAAGTCAGGTTCTGGAGGTAGGCAGGATGGTACAGAAGCTGGAGACCAGTCCCCACCTGACTCTACTCCTTCCTTAGCCTTAGGCAGCTCCCTCCTCCTGCCCTGCAGCTCTTCACTGGCCAGAGAGGGAACAGAGGCCAAACCAGATCTGACATTTAGGGAATGGAACGTAGACCTAATCAGCTCCCTGGCTCACAACAGTGTGTGTTCTCGTTAGCTGGGGATTTGGGAAAGAAATGAGCCTGTAGATGCCCTTGTGTGCAGTGAACATGTTCAGGGATGCTGTAATTCAAAACCAGACTGGCCTGCAGGATACCAGGGAACTGCTGTTGCTTGCTTTTTCTTTTACTGTTTTATTGGAAAATTTAAAGCATATCTAAAGATAGAATAATGTAAAGAACCCCCACGTGCCATCCCCAGCCTCAACATTAGGAACTCCTGAGCAGGCTCATTTCATGCAAACCCTCCACTCAGTTCCCCAACGCCCCTGGATTACTTTGCAGCCAGTCTCAGATGTGTCAGCTCATTCACCAGGATTTCAGTATGCAGCTCTCAATTATAAGGACTTCTTTTTTTAAGCACAACTGCAATACAATGTCACATCTAAAAAGTTGATCTACCCAGTGCCTATTTCCTCGATTGTCTCATGGAGTTCAGTTAAAGGCCACATACTACATTGAGTTATTAATCCTCTAAGTCTTAAATCTATTGGTTCTTACCCAACCCTTGTTTCTCTTGTGCATTTTTTTGTTGAAGGAACTGAGTCGGTATAGTTGGGGAGCTTCATCCTGAGTCACATATCAGGAGAGCTACATCAGAACCTCTGGGGTGGGGGCAGCTAGACCTCCCCAGGTGAATTGTATATTCTAACTAGGCAGCCCTGGGAAACTGCTTAGACCATCCCCTGCATTCAGCAGGTAACTGTCTCTGAAGCCAGCCAGGGGAAAGAAGGCAGAACTGGACATTCTGGCCTTGGCTTTGCTTCCAGTAGGCACTGTGGCGTTGGGTAGCTCACTTTCCCTCAGAGCATGTGGTTTTCCCACCTGTACAAGGGAGCTGATCCTGCTGACTGTAGGGCCTCACTGTGAGGGTCAGGTGGGCTCCTGTGAGTTGTGAAGTGCTGTGCTGGGTCTTATCAGATGTGTGTGGTGGGAGGGGGCACCCTGGGCAGCTGGAATGGCCTCTGTGCCCAGCTGTCCCCGAGCTCTGTGGACCCCTTGCCTTGTAAAACATTCCCTAACCCCATCATCTCCTTTCCCTGGCCAAGCCTTTAATCACTGGGGGGGTGTTTTGTTTTTGTTTTTCAAGGTGATTAAACCCCCTCTGATTTTTGTCGACCCTAATCGTAGTCCAGCTGGCCCAGCTGCTACCCCCGCACAAGCCCAGGCTGCGAGCACCCCGAGGAAGGCCCGAGCCTCGGAGAGCACAGCCAGGAGTTCCTCCTCTGAGAGCGAGGATGAAGACATGATCTCCGCTACACAGTGCTTGACTCCTGGTGAGCGCAGCCCCTATGAAGTGGTGGGAGGGGCTACCAGCACTGCCCCGTGTTGAGGCCCAGAAGGGACAGGACACTGGCTAAGTCACATAGCAAGGTGTTGGTCAGGAGGGGCTTGGGGCCAGGTCTCTGGGCCCTGCATTGGCCATCCTGATTAGAGCCTCGCTCAGACCTGCAGTTCTGCCAGGGCTTTTTTGTGCCAGCCCCAGGCTTGGAACTCAGACCTGTGCTAGAAGCTGCAGGGACCAGGTTCCTACACAGTCGAAGTAAGAACTCTCTAAAAGTTGACTGAATGTGGACCAGGTAGTCAGGGTGGTAGTGAACTTCCCCTCCTTGGTAGCATGTAAAGTGGGTTAGGCAGTCCTAAGCCAGAGACATTACAGGGAGAGATTTCATCTATCAGCGAGTGACAGGACTAATCTGTGATTCTACCAATGATAGCAGGAAAAGAGTTAATGCTGCTATTACTGTTATTATAACACTTTTACAAGGAAATAATACCTGATCCTGATAGGATAATGTAAAAATACAGGCCAGATGCAGTGGCTTACCCCTATAATCCTAGCACTTTGAGAGGCTGAGGCAGGCAGATCACCTGAGCTCAGGAGTTCAAGACCAGCCTGGGCAACATGGTGAAACCCCACCCCTACTAAAAATACAAAAAATTAGCCTAGCCGGCATGGTGGCACACTCCTGTAAATCCAGCTACTTGAGAGGCTAAGGCACAAGAATTGCTTGAACCCAGGTGGCAGAAGTTGCAGTGAGCTGAGATTGCACCACTGTACTCCAGCCTGGGCAACAGAGCAAGACTGTCTCAAAAAAACACAAAACAAACAAAATGCAGATTATGGCTGGGCATGGTGGCCCACACCTATAATCCCAGCACTTTGGAAGACCAAGGTGGGAAGATCACTTGAGCCCAGGAATTCAAGACCAGCCTGAGCAACATAGAGCCCTATCTCTACAAAAGTGTGTGTGTGTGTGTGTGTGTGTGTGAGAGAGAGATTTAAAAATACAGATTAGCACATAAGAAACTATATCACCTGTAATTCTACTGCCCAAAATAATTACTGTTAAGATTTGACAAATGCTAATTTATAAAAACCTAAGATATACCTGTGTTTTTAAAGCGAGACCATACTGTATATTTTATTACATCAGATTTTTCATCTTTATTTGTAGCACAATGCCTACTGGCTACAAAGAAGTCCTTCAGGTGGACGTTTCACAGTTTGTGTAGCCAGCACCATGTTGGAGGAACCAGAGGGTTTTGTTTCAGGGTGGAGGGGTGAGGGAGTTGGCTGTTACAAACAGTGCTTTGAAGAACTTGCGTGTTCCTGGGCCTCTGCAGATAACCACAGGGACTCTAAGGAGAGACAATTTTAACTGCAAGCAGAGTTGTTTAGTACTGGTGCTTTGGCCCATTGCTCAGGAGTGGCAGCCTGGCCAGCTGGGAGGAAGGGGATGAGGATGCCTGGGGTCACCCCAGAGCAGCCATTTGAGCTCCCTGAGCCTTGTCAAATGACATAATGACATCTCTTGCCTGGGAGGCTTGGAGAGGGAAGTAAACAAGCTTCTACCTCTAAGCTCTGAGCACGGCTCTAGGTCCCCAGCACAGGTTGGTAAATTGGGTTATTGCCACTGCTGAGGAGGCTGTGGGGCTTTAGTGCCCTGATGTGCCGCCATTTCGCTCCATTTCAGCCATTAGAACCAACGTGGTGACTGTGCCTACCACCCACCCAAGGACAGCCCCCAAAGGCAGCACGGCTAGGGCCAGCAGCAACAAGGAGTCCAGTCGGATATCAGATGGCAAGAAACAGGAGGGACCAGCCACTCAGGTACCTGGTGGGCAAGGGAGGGCTATGCAGGCCAGTGGGGGGGGCCCTACTCCCATGCTTACCTGCACATGCTAATGGGATGGCTTGCAGTTGCTGTCACTTCTGCGCCCCAGAGGTAGTGGCCTCACAGCCAGAGGCTTTCTGGTCTCCTGGCTACAGCTCCCGTGCTGGCTTCCCAAATCACCTTTGAGTTATGAGGAAGAGTAATCTGGGGACACAGCCTCCTGGCCAAACAAGCCCTGCACCTTGAGTTTTCCAGCGGGGTGGGGCTTTTGATTTTTTTCTTCAGTTTTATAATGCCGTGAACAAAAGTTGCCTTTTTTTTGGTGTTTGTAATGGTGACTTTAGCATTATTCCCAGTCTTCGCCATTTTCAGTGCATTTTTATTTTGTCCTTGCCTGAATGTAAAAGCTGGGCAGAGTAGGGTTATTGACTTGTGCGTTGTTCAGATCATAAAACTGAGCACACGTCCCCACCCCCAGGGCTGTAATGTGACCAACATTCAGCAAGGCCAGAACCTGGGTCTTCTGAGACCCAGTTCATTGCTTTTTGGGCCATATCCGTCTGGTTTTTCATCCAACTGAGAGGAAGATGTCCATGACACACTCCGTCCTTTCTTCCTGAGGAGGTGGGCTCGCAAAGTTGGGAATCCCCAGTGTTGGGAGGCTGGCGTGCCACCCACTCCCTGGACTCATCCCTGGACTCTAGGCCAAGAAGAACTGGGAACATGGGTGCTGGATGGGAAGTTGGGCCATGGTCACTGTCCATGAGCATCTGTTCCTGCCAGGCCCTAGGGATACTGCAGGAACCAAGGCAGGGACAAGGAGTTCCCAGGCCAGTCAGGGAGTGGTGAGGGGCAGCCATTAAACAAGGGAACCCACATAAAATTATTCACCAGCTGGTAGGTGAGGAAGCAACATAAACTAGAGAATAGGGGGGTCACCTGCTATAGGAAGGCCTCCCCAAGGTGGCAGTGTTTAAGCAGAAGCAGCTAGTTACAGGATAAGCTGGGCCACCCTCCAGGCAGCGAAACTGCAGGTGCCAGAGCCTTTTGGGGAAGTGCTTGGGGATGAGGGAACCTGAGAGGTAGGGACAGCTAGATAAGGAGCTGGGGGAGAGGAGAGGAGAGGAGAGGAGCCAGGCCATGGCAAGGGCCGTGCCACATTTGAAGGCTCTCTCAGCAAAGGGCCATGCCCAATTTCCTTTCTAAGTTCTGTCTTCCTGACTGCTGATGGGTGTAAGAAGTAGAGGTGGTACCGGGGGGCCACCAGGTTGTCCCTAATGAAGGTACAGATTGAGTGGTGGGGTCTAAGCTGTTTCCCTACCCTGGGCTGGGAATTGTCTCTTGCTCTTTGAGAACAATGTAATTAGCTCATAACCTGAAGCCTGCCACCAGTTTTGCTGCCAAGATGGTGACACTGCCCCTTTGTCCCTCAGTTCCCACTCCAGCCCCCACGCCAACTAGACAGCATCTGACCAGGGTTTGGCACAGCTGGCATCCCAAGGACTCATGAGTCTCAGGGCTACCTCTTGCCACCCACAGGTGTTAAAGAAGAACCCAGCTTCCCTCCCACTGACCCAGGCTGCCCTGAAGGTCCTCGCCCAGAAAGCCAGTGAGGCTCAGCCTCCTGTTGCCAGGACCCAACCTTCAAGTGGGGTGAGCTTGGGGAGCAGGGGAAGCAAGCCTGCAGAGCATAGAAGGTACAGGCGTGGCCTTGCATCCCAGCACCAGCACTGGCCACTTGCCTGTGACCTCTGCACTTGGTTTGCCTCCCTGGGCCTCAATGGCCTAATCTGTAACAAGGAATTACAGTACTTTTTGTTGGAAGATCAAATGACACTGCATGTGCTCCCTGTCTAACATGGTGCGTGGCCCTATTGAAGTGTTCAGGAAGGACCAGATCTTACTTGCCCTAATTTTTCCTTCCATTCCTTCTCCTTTCACCGAATTAGGTTGACAGCGCTGTGGGAACCCTCCCTGCAACGAGTCCCCAGAGCACCCCTGTCCAGGCCAGAGGAACCAACAAGCTCAGAAAACCTAAGCTTCCTGATGGCCAGCAGGCCGCCAAAGCCCCTGGGAGCTCAGATGACAGTGAGGACAGCAGCGACAGCTCTTCAGGGAGCGAGGAAGATGCTGAAGGGCCCCAGGTGGCCAAGTCAGCCCACCGGCTAGGTGAGGGTGCCCAGGGGAAAGGCAAGGCTGGGCCAGGAGGCGGGTGGAGTCTGACCTGGTGGAGCTGTAGCTCTGGCCTCAGCTCTGTATCTCAGACTTGTTCTGTGCCCTTGGCTGAGCCTGGGCCTCAGTTTCCCCACCTGTACAATTTCATGAGGAAGTCAGTCTAAATTAATTCAGAGACCTGACTTTGCTGTTTGGCCGCTCTCAGCTTGTTGGTATCAGATTCCGTTCACTGACTCCCCAAAACTCCAGGGCCATGTTTCTGGAACAGGTGAAAGCAGGGAAATAGAAATGAGGCCTCAGGAATTAGAAATAAGGCTTTGGCATTCAGATGTCTCACCTAGTATGTTGTGAATAGCAGCGAGTGTGCAAGGAGCATTAGAAGCAGTAGAAGACTTGGGGTGGGGGTGAGGGACCTGCAGAGAGACCCAGGCCTTCCCGAAGGCCTCTGCCCTGCCCGGCTGGCAGGGACCACCTGGGGCTACCAGCAGGATATTGTCCTTCTCCAGTAGGTTCCACCCCCTCCAGGATGGAGACCCTGGTGGAGGAGACCACAGCAGAATCCAGCGAGGATGACGTCGTGGCGCCATCCCAGGTAACTGCAAGGGAGAGGGCTGGCAGCGCAGCCTTAGGGTGGAGCCCCAGGCCAGGCTCCTGTCTACCCCATCCCTCAGGTCAGGGGTCTGGGCCCCCTCTCTTCACAGAGGTCTTGGGCAAGGTCCTGACTGGGAAGTACCAGCTGTGGCCCAGCCAACAGACGACATCCAGGCTGTCTGCCTCCCGGCATAGAGCCCTGAGTAGCTGACCCTTGGGGTCTATAGAAGGGATTGACCTTGATTCTGGGTGATGTCCAGACAAAAACATTCTTTAGCAGACTTCTTTTAAAGTTACTGTTTGTATGTGGCAAAAGCTAGTAATTTTCCATTTGCGTTAAAAAGAAATTTCCTTTTTAAATGTGCCTGTCTAGAAATTGTGTTAATTAAAATAGTTCAGGAGGCACACACCAAGGGCTGAAGTGCTGCTCTGCGCCTTGCCATCCACACACTCTGCACCCAAGGGCGGGGTGATTCTAGAGGCCCCAGGCTGCTTTCCTCACAACAGGCCATGACTTGGGCTGGGTTAGGGGGCAGAGTGCAGCTGGCAGCCTCTTTCACACTGGGCTTCTTCAGTCTCTCCTCTCAGGTTATGTGACCCCTGGACTAACCCTGGCCAATTCCCAGGCCTCAAAAGCCACTCCCAAGCCAAACTCCAACCCTTCAGTTTCCTCTACTCTGGCCGCCAAAGATGACCCAGATAGCAAGCAGGAGGCAAAGCTCCAACAGGCAGCAGACACCTTGTCCCCTAAAACAGGTGAGTTGAGGTCTACAGGAGGGAAACAGCAAGACACAGAGCAACAGGGCAGTGGACCCCTTCTTGCCCTCCTGTAGCAACAGTCTTCCCAACATGGTCCTGTCTGCCACCAGAGCCTCTCCAAGTGAGACCTTGTGGCCCCGCATTGGACCTGGAGATGCTCATCAAAGTGCAGGTGGAGCCAGGTGCAGCAGCACACGCCTTTAATCCTAGCAATTTGGGAGGCCGAGGTGGGAAAATTGCTTGAGCCCAGGAGTTCGAGACCAGCCTGGGCAACACAGGGAGACCCTATCTCTAAAATTTCTTTTAATTAGCTGGTGTGATGGTCCACGCTTGTATTCCCAGCTACTTGAGAGGCTGAGGCAGGAGAATCACTTGAGGCCAGGAGGTTGAGGCTATAGTGAGCCATGATTATGCCACTGCACTTTGGCCTAGGTGACACAGTGAGACCCTGTCTCAAAAAAAGTACAAGTGGCCCCATGCCCCAGACAGCCTGGAAGTGGGGGTATATCCAGGCCTGGGTGATACTAACGTACCAGATAGGATAACCCCTGTCTCAGAGGAAGTCACGTCCTTTGGCTTGTGAAGCAAGCATTGGCACTCTCCAGCAATCCCCATCAACTTTTCTTCCCTGTAAATAGGCTCACAGTGTGGGGTGTGGGCCGTGGGCCTCAGAGGATAGCTCAGACAATAGGCTGAGAGTCATGTTTGGAGGACACTCAGCACATGCAGGAGACCCCAGACAAGAGGCTGGCCCCAGGCTGTTGTGACTCACTCTAAAGCCTTGGAAATCCCCTGGCCACTCTGGGTCTCTGTGTCTTAACCATACAAAGCAGGAGTTGATGTATCCAGTCTGTGTCAAGGCATGGCACATGTAGAAAATAGTCACCTGGTATTTGGAAGTCATCCTGGAGTACTCAAGCCAATGTGGGGCATCCGCTGTCTCTGACTCTGCTAGAGCTAAGGGTCAAATACATCCCAGCCGGCACACCTAGGACAGCTCCAGGGCTTCTCCAGCCTTGATGTTCTGGGTGTTTGCAGACAAGGAGCAGAGAAGTGGGCCAGGTGTCGTGGCTCACACCTGTAATCCCAGCACTTTGAGAGGCCAACGTGGGCAGATCTCTTGAGGTCAAGAGTTTGAGACCAGCCCGGCCAACGTGGTGAAACCCCGTCTCTACTAAAAGTACAAAAAAACTAGCCAGCGTGATGGCAGACCCCTGTAGTTCCAGCAGCTCGGGAGGCTGAGGCAGGAGAATCGCTTGAACCCAGGAGGTGGAGGTTGCAGTGAGCCAAGATTGCACCACTGCACTCCAGCCTGGTCAACAAAGAAAAACTCTCTCTCTCAAAAAAAAAAAGGAAAAAAAAAAGCAGCAGAAAGGTAGGCTCTGGGGAGAGAGGTTGCCAGGGCTAACTGCCCTCCCCAGCTTCCCTCTCCAGTTGGCTCCTGCCCTCTTGAAGTATTACCAAAGGATGGAATTGGGCTTCCAGCCATCTTGGGGTCCCCTTGCTTGACCTGTCTTGCCCCTGCCTTGCCCTGCCCTGCCCTGCCCAGCCTACCTCCCCCAGCCCACCACACTCTAGAGAGCCAAAAGTTGCTAGAGATCCTGGGTGGGGCTGGGGGGCCAGGCTCACCACATGCCGCAGGGGGCAGCCCTAGCCTCAGTGTGACATGGAGCGTTCACCTGGGCCTTCCTCCGGGTGAATACCTCCAGGGCCAAACCACCAAGCCACCTTTCAGAGCCCAGCGTGCAGGAGTGTTGTGCCCATGAGACCCAGAATGGGGCACAGACCTCCAAGTCTGTGGGAAGTCACCTGGGAAGTTAGAGGTGGCGAGGGGGTGCAGTCATGGGGCTTTCAGCCACAGCTTGCCCCAGGCTGGGTCAGAAGAGGAATTGCTGCTCACTTTCTTCCCCAGCGTTCTTTGTGAGAGGCGGTGCAACAAGGAGACATTTTAGAGGGGGCTGTGGAAGGTTTTTTTTTACACGTGTAGTCAGCACACAATTATCAAAGGCAAGCAGAGGCGTGGAAAATTCTAAACAAAGGCTGCACCAGAAGTCTCTCTGGCAGGCAGTAAACCTGCTTAGTCAGCGGCCACGTGTATATACACTGTACCCAGCACTCCCCACCTTACCTAGACCCCCTGACCGAAAGGGCCAAGTGTGGGTAGTCATGAATTGAATGTCTGCGTGGCCTCTGCTTTTATTATAAATCTACAGTGTTTCTTAAGGAGCCTTGCTGTTCATCTACCCCTCGGATTATAGACAGGGAAACTGAGGCCCTGGGAGGAGATGGGTCCTGGCCAGAATCACACTGAAAGTTAGTGGGAAAGTCAGACATAGTACCCAGGTCTCCTTCTTCCCATCTCCAAACTGCATCTCCCTCCTGTTTGACTTCATTTCATTCAGGCCCTTTCATTAACATTCTAGAGTCATTTTTTGTACCCTACCCTAACTTCAGTTTTTAGTGTAAAGAGACAGAGAAAAGCTGTAAGTTAGAAACAAAGTCAGAATGTGAAAATGGTGGAAAGGTGTGAGCTTAGGAGACCAGCTGGGGCAGAGTGACCGCCAAGAATTGCTCTCCCCATCTGTGCCATTGTAAGAAAAGGTGGAGTCACTCACTGCACCCTCTTCGCTCTTAGGTACTGTAAGATTTATCCCCCAGCTCTCCAAGATCCATGACTCCACATTATCTCTCCATAGGTGGAAAAGAGGCTGTCTCAGGCACCAAACATCAGAAGTCCCAGAAGCCCAAAAAAGGGGCTGGGAACCCCCAGGCCTCAACCCTGGCGCTGCAAAGCAACATCGCCCAGCGCCTCCTGGGCCAACCCTGGCCCCTGAGCGAGGCCCAGGTGCAGGCCTCGGTGATGAAGGTCCTGACTGAGCTGCTGGAGCAGGAAAAAAAGAAGGCGGCGGATGTCATTAAGGAGAGCAGCAGGAAGGGCTGGGAGAGCCGCAAGCGGAAGCTGTCCGGAGACCAGCCTGCTGCCAGGAACAAGAAGAAGAAGCTGGGGACTGGAGAAGGTGGGGAGGTCTCTGTCTCCCCAGAAAAGGCCTCCATGACTTCCAAGGGAAAAGCAAAGAGAGACAAAGCAAGTGGCGGCATCAAGGAGAAGAAGGGGAAGGGGTCTCTTGGCTCCGAAGGGGCCAAGGACAAGCCAGAAGAGGAGCTTCAGAAGGGGATGGGGAAGGTTGAAGGTGGAGATCAAAGCAACCCAAAGAGCAAGAAGGAGAAGAAGAAATCAGACAAGAGTGAGTGACCACTTCTCTGGCCCCACACCGCGGGCTGCTGGGCACCTCATGGGGGCAGGAGGGACCCTGAGCCAGCACCTAGTCTCATTTCTCCCATGTGGAAAGGAGTGGCTGAAACCAGCCTGGCCAACATGGCAAATCCCCATCTCTACTAAAAATACAAAAAATTAGCTGGGCATGGTGGCAGGCACCTGTAATTCCAGTTACTTGGGGAGGCTAAGGCAGGAGAATTACTTGAAGCCAGGAGGCGGAGGCTGCAATGAGCCAAGATCGCACCGTTGTACTCCAGCCTGGGTGACAGAGTGAGACTGTCAAAAAATGCTGAGAAGTGGTTTGTCCAGTCATGAGGGGGCAGTTAGTGGCAAAGCCAGAACTTGGTTCCAGAGCACTGCCAGGAATGCTGCAGAAGGATGAGGAGTCATGTCCTCTTTCCCCGAGCCCAGTGCAGCAGATCTTGCAGGAACCTGCTTCTCCAGCCAGCTCCCTGAGTGCAGAGTGGACCAGACACCAGACTATCAGAATCGTCATGCCAAACCCCATCTTTCTAGACCTCAGTTTTCCCTCCATAGTAACACTGGCTTTCTGCTGAGCTCTGTGCTAGACTCTGCATGCAGCAGGTCCTCATTTAGGTAGAAATGAAGCTCAGCAGATAGAAAACTGAGGCTCAGAGAAGTAGAGGTGCTGTTCAGGGCTAGAGTTTTACTAGGTGGAACCAGAGTCAAACCTAGGCAGCACTCTGAAGCACCACCCTGGATGGTGGGAAAGGGGTGTATGAGATGCCAGTGATGCCCAGAGAGCCAGCGAGTTCTAGAGCAAGAGTCCGGCACCCTCAGAGCAGGACGCAGGACCTGCAGCCCCTTGGCGCTCAGAACTGTGCTAGATTTCCATTTACAGGAGGAATAGATAGTGTCCATTTAAAATAAATTTGCGGGAGTTTTAAAAAGTGAGTTGACCTAAAGGAAAATGGTATTCGTCTAGGTGGTCCATAGATGAGACAGAAATCATGAGCTGACCCCCAAGGGGCAGGTAAGCGGCACTGCTGGGTGGTCACCAAGGCCAGCAGCCTGTTTTATTTTTATTTTTTTGAGTCAGGGTCTTGCCCAGTCACCCAGGCTGGAGTGCAGTGTCATGAACGCAGCTCTCTGCAACCTCAGCCTCCCAAGCTCAAGCGATCCTCTTGCCTCGGCCCCACAAATCACTGGGACCACAAGCGTGCATCACCATGCCCAACTAATTTTTGTATTTTTTGTAGAGAGGTCACTATGTTGCCCAAGTTGGTCTTGAGCTCCTCGGCTTGAGTGATCCACCTGCCTCAGCCTCCCAAAGTGCTGGGATTACAAGCATGAGCCACCATGCCTAGCCCTGCCAGCCTGTTGTGATGGCTCCCGGTGATACGGGGAGAGCTGGGAACCCAGCATCAGCAGAGACAAGTTTCAGGATCCTGGGAGCCCTGCCCCTGTGCGCCCCCTAACATTGACCCCAGCACTTAGGATTACCATCTGTTGTTCAGGAAGTTTGCTTTCTTCCCTCAGGAAAAAAAGACAAGGAAAAAAAGGAAAAGAAGAAGAAAGCAAAAAAGGCCTCAACCAAAGATCCTGAGTCACTATCCCAGAAGAAAAAGAAGAAAAAGGTAGAGTGAGTTCCTCAAGGGTCTCGGGCCAGAAAACGGACCCAAACCCAAGCCCCTTCACACATACCCAGACCTGGTTCCTGCCCCCTTCGCCTTTCCAGGGCCTGATGGGGGCCTCATGAGTTGTGACACACCAGGGAAGAGGCTGGCAGGGCATGTTCCCTGAACACCTGGAAGCCATAGAAGTGACCTGCCACTTCTGTGAAGGGTGTTGGGGAAGGAAGGAGAGACTCCCCCCAGCACAGGGAAACCAGGTAGACTATGGAGGTTTCCAGGTGAGAGGAAGCATTGCCTGGGATGTGTGTGCCCCGGCTGGCAGGCTGGCCCTGAACAAGGGCTATCCTTACTGCCTGGGGCCTCAGCACCTCAGATGTAGATGAAGTTCTCCCCTTGGCCAGCAGGGCCTCAGCTGTATTTAGGAGAGCTGAACATCTGTTTGCCTCTGCCTTTGGGGGTTCCCTGCAGACCTAGTCTTTGTTCTGGGGGAATTCACTAGTCCTCAGGAGGTTGGGGCAGCAGTGGGTGGGAAAAGCTGCAGGTCTGAGCCTCTCGTACTTCCCTCCTCACAGAAGAAGACACCAGAGCAGACTGTATGATGAGCATCAGCACAAGTCACAGGTACGTTTCCCAATCATTCCTGAGCATTTGGGGCTAGAGGACAGCCCTGGCATCCTCTGTAGTCCCAGAGAGCCAGGCAGACCTGGTCGGTGGGCTCCAAGGAGAAAGGAGGCTGGGGAAAGAGGTTCTATTGCCAAGGGTCCATGGGGCCAGTGGGATGACATCAGGAGCTGGCATTGCAGCGTCAGAAGGATCCAGAATGGTGATGGCAGTGGCTGACATCAAGTGTACGCTGGGTGCAGGGATTGTACATGCTTTAGGGGGTTGTGCCCTGGGAGATAGAACCTGTTTGTAGGTGAGATCAGATACAGCTTGGTCTTTCCTTCACTCCTGTCCAGTTTCTTTTCCTCATGATCCTGTAACTTGGGGGCATTTCCTTTTGGGAAGGAAGATGGTTTGCTCAAGATGAGCTGTCTCCATGGATCTGTGCTTCTCTATGGAGGACAAGCCCTGCCAAGTGGTGGTGACAGGTAGCTGCTCCACTGGCTGTGATGGCTCTGCAGTCACCCAGCCACCTGTAAATGGGGGCAATGCAGAGCCCGCCTCCTGGGCTGGTGGTGAGGCTCATGTGAAGCTAAACACTGAAGGACTCAGTCCAGTTCCCAGAATGTTCCAATTGCTAAAAAATGTCTGCTGTGGTTAATGCCTCACCCCTGCAGTGGGGCTGCCAGGCTTCATTTTCCTTGCAGGAGAAGAAGGTCAGAGAATCTGATGTCTGGATGTGTTTCCTTCCCCCAGGGATTTTCTAGCCGAGCGGTGACCATCCCCTTGCCCCTGACCTCCGCCGACCTCTGCTCACCATGGGTTGGAAGTAAATTGTCACCTGCCCCCCGCTCCACAGAAGAAGACAGGCAGCTGCAGGGGCCCCTGTACTGGCCAAGCCAGTGAGCCTGCGGGGAGGCTGGTCCAAGGAGAAAGTGGGCCAGCTCCCATGACCTCGCCCTACTCACTCAACAAGGGACGCTTCATATAGATGTGTACAGTATATGTATTTTTTTAAGTGATCTCTCCTTCTGCAGACCCCACATGCCCAAAGGCCTCAGGACTTCCCACCACCTTGCTCCACAGATCCAGCTAGGCCCGACCTGTGCCTCATCCCGTGCTGCTCGGTCTCTGGCTGATCCTGAGGCTTTGTCTTCCTCTCGTCAGTTATTTTGGTTGTATTTTTATTGGTTTTTTTTAAGAACTCAAAAAAATAAAAGACTTGGAGGAAGAGTGCAAGTTCCCAGTACATCTGGGGCACAGGTTTCTTGGAAGGGACCATCTCGCCAACACTTGGGATTCCTTCTTGCATGTGTGTTGAGGCTGTGGGTGACCACGGTTAGTGGGACAGGTGGTAAGTTTGAGAAAAGAGACGCAATGAAATGCCAAATTGGCAGGGAAGGCTTCCTGGATGAGGTGACACCTAAACTAAAAGATAGTCATGGTTGATTTCCTGTTGCCAGAGTAAGTCATGCAAATACCCAAAGACAAGAAATAGAAGGGGGCCTGAGAAGCCTTGAGCTAGGCCTTGAGCCAGGGGCAGGCTCTCTTGAGGTGCGTGGTGGAGAATAGCTGTGGCAGGCACAGCAGGTCTAGGAAAATCAGGAGTGGTGAGTTGTCCCTCATATTGAGCTCACCAGGGTTATATGGTGGTGGGGGCAAGAAGCAGATAAACATGAAAGACGTGGGATGACATCTTGTGTATGGAATGAAGGAGGGGAGGGGTAGCAAAGGAGGTCTCCTGTTCCATCCTGGAAATGCAGAAGCCCATTTCCCTAGGCCCAGAATCATATAAAACACCAGGGGTGCTAGAGATGTCTCCAAAGCTTTAGCCTCGTGCTGGAAACAGCCAGAGGTAGTGCAGAAAAGGAATGCAGAGCTGGAGGTGTTGGACACCCTGCAGTTCTTGATTTCTGGCTCCTCTTAAAAAGATAACATCTGGCAGCAGGGGGGCTGTGGTCCCCCCTGGCAGCAACCAGATAGAGCTGAGTAGCAGTTGGCCCCTTAGGTAGGGCATGGGTGCCCAGTTCTCCACAGTCCCCCACTTCCTGTCCATCCCTGACACTGAGGCCCCGTGTTGGTTGCCATCTGTCTTCACATTCGCACTGTTCTTAGTATAGAAATGAAATTGGGGACGTAGGAAAATGAAAGCTGTACCAAGAGGAGCTTGTGCTTAAAAAACTAGGCAAGAGCTTATTTCTTTTTGGAAATAAAGAGTGCTCGTGTGTGTTCAACATGTAATCAAGTATATCTATGTCCAAGACTGCAGGCCCCGCAGGCATCTCTGTCGGTTCTTCGGACCGCATTGTCCCACCCAAATGGTGGGTTTAGGGTCCTTAGTTACCTCCTTGGGATAAATGAACTGGATCCCAACAGACAAGCCAGGAGCCAGAGTGTTCTACTTAGTACTTTTTATTCTAACATGAGCTATGGCACTGAGAGCTGATGACAAGCTTGACTGAGCAGAGGGAACCAGGGGTCAGCAGAAAGGATTATGGGTAGGGAATCTTGGCTCTTTCTTGAGAAGTGATGGGGGGAAGGGGAAGAGAGTGGCTCGGCCTACAGGTAGATAGGCTAGGAAAGCTGAGGCCAAAGGCCGGAGGGGAGAGAACAGCAAGCCTGTCCAGCCTGGGATCTGGGGGTAGGGCTATCCCTTCTCCCTGTGCCTTCCCACCTCATCCATGGGCCTAGATCGTGGAGCCCCATGTCAGAGGCTGCTGTGATGTCTGTCTAGCTTCTGGCTACCTCCTGAGACCTCACGCCTCTGTTGACAGATGGAGATTGGGCAGCAGGGCCCTGCTGCATCATTATCTGCTGTTCCGACTTGGTTTGTCATGTCCAGGGGTGACGGAGAGCCAGGCATCAGGTCTCATGGGACGAGGTACAGGGTGGGAGATGGGGGAGGCGCTAGGGGCCAAAGGGAGCAAGAAAGCTGTGGCTGTGCAGGGCCGGTGGGATGCTGGAGACCACCTCTGCCGTTCTCAAATGGCGACTGGAGAGACAAGCAGCAAGTTGAGGTTCGGGTCATCCATTTGTTGTCTTTGCCCCTTCCTAAAATTCTGGACCTGCAGAGCAGGTGAGGACTGTCCACCCACCTCTGTCCCCTGCTAGGGTCCAAGTAATAACCATCATGGATTTGTGTAAGTCCCCACAGCCCCCCAACCCTCATCTGATGTTCCTCATCTGTGAAATGGTCATCCTGGGGATGCTGGAGAGTAGCCCAGGGTCACACACCTTCACCCGCCCACAAAGGAGCTGGCCCTGCTGGGGATGAGCTGCTGGTGACCAGATGCCCCTCTGCAAGGCCCTTACCTGGGCCCAGATCCTGCTTGGTCACACCCAGCCCAGAAGATGGGTCCTCCAGTTCCAGTGACTCTGCAAAGGAGCAGCAAGTCCATTTGTTACTTGAAGTGCAGCCTATTCAACCCTAGATGCCCGAGGGCAGTGCTTCCCACCAAAGCAGGTGCCAAGGGAAGGACAGCTGCAAACAGCAACGAAGAGGTGTAATGGGGGCTTGAGTGAGAGGGGTGATGAAATGAGATGGTGGGTCCGTAGGACTCCTGGATGCTAGAGGATGGCGCATGGATGAATGAAAATCAGATGAAAGGACTGATGGATAGGTGAACAAATGAAAGAGATGAGTGGATGTAAGAGGAGAGATGATAAATGGACAAATAGGAATGCGCAGGTGGGTGGATGGATAAAGGGCTGGACACATGACTATGTGGCTGCACCCAGGAACTGCCGTCCCGGGTGTCCTGGCCCCATGTGCTTCAGAGGGGACCTCTTGCCCCTCAACCTTCCTAGTGCTTCCTGGTCCTCTGACACTGGCACAGCGGCCACTGCTTACCACTGCAGTTATGGTGCCCGCGGCTTCTGGTGTTGGGGACCTCTGTGCCGTTGGGGAAGACGCACCAGCAGTAGCCGATGCTCCCATAGCACTGGAGCGGCAGATAGTTGCCGTTCTCGTCGCACTTGGGACGGAACGAACCCGGGTGGACATCAGGGATGCGGCTGACCTCTTCCTGGCACTTGGTCAGTGCTGAAGCGACAGGTACGATGAGGACATAGTGAGTGAGTAAGCTCTGAACCAGGGTGTGAGCAGAGCCAGAGACCCACACACCACTGCTGTGGGCCTAATGCCATCTTTCCAAGTGGCTTTACTCACTCCAGCCATTACACGGATGAGAAAACAGGCCTGAGGCCTAGACCAACAAGGTCTGAGATCAAAAAGGAAGTGAATGGCTGTGTGTCGAGTTCACCTCAGAAGTTGATGACTTCTTCTGACACTCAAAGCCCATTGCAGTTTGGGGCCAAGCACAGTGGCTCATGCCTGTAACCCCAGCACTTTATGAGGCCGACGTGGGCAGATCACTTGAGGTCAGGAATTCAAGACCAGCCTGACCAACATGGTGAAACCCAGTCTCTACTAAAAATACAAAAACTAGTTGAGCATGATGGTGCCTGCCTGTAAGCCCAGCTACTCAGGAGGCTGAGGCAGGAGAATCAATTGAACCTGGGAGCTGGACATTGCAGTGAACCGAGATGGCACCACTGCAGTCCAGCCTGGGTGACAGTCAGACTCCGTCTCAAAAAAAAAAAATTTACAGTTTGGAATTGCACTTTCGATTCTGATTTCTAGAGAAAAGCGATGGGCATCTTGGTAAGTCTAAGCTTGCTGTTACTGGGAGTTCCCAAGCAGAAATGAGGGTTACCATTTGTTGGAGATGTCTTAGAGGGGTTTAATAAAGCATCAGCTAGTAGTTGGTGGAGGTAGCATGTTAAGATGCCTTCTACGAATCTGATGCAGAAACTGAGGCCCCAGGCAGGGTGGCCTTTGATCTACTTCAGGACCCTGAATCCCAGAGGGAAGAAGACGGCTCAAAATTACATAGCCAATCAGAGACAGCACCGGGATAGAAACAGCACTCTTTGGCTTTGGGGCTAAAACCATCCTAGTCTGCGTCGTCCATGAGGTGGGAAACTTGCAAGGCTCTCTTGGCAGCAGCTGTGACCTTGGTGCCCTCATTGGAGTTGAGGCAGTGCTGGGGCAAGGTCATTACAAGGATTCCTTCCTGGGGTGTTTCGGGCTGGTTTTGCTCCAGGCCCCCTGTGTGGTGCCATCCTCCATGAGAGAAGTCACCTGTACCTTCTGGTGACAGGCCTCTGTGGGCCCTTAGGAACCCTTAGACAAGATGCGGATAGCCTGGGGGCAGAGGACAGCCAAACCAAGAAGGAACAGACAGGAGAGATGGAAGTGAGAGCTGAGAGGATGGGAGGTTCTGTGGTGCTGGGGCCAGGAAGTGAGAGTCCCAGGGGAGTATCCAGAAGCCCTGGCACCCTAAAGCTCCCACTCCCTGTACCTTTTGGTGGAGCCTCAGTGGGCTTTTGCTCCAGGGAGTGCTTGCTCATTTCAAACAAGAGCCAATGGTGCAGCCAGCTCTCAAAGATCTAATAGGGATAGAGGTGAAGGTCAGGTTCAATGGCCACCATCAAGTCCCTACACTCCCTGGCTTTTCCCCTGGGGACAGAAACATGCAGGGCCAAATAGGGCCCCAACACCTGGGTCCAGCTGCAGCCTGGTTCCCCCTTAAAGACCCATGGGGCTGAACCCACGCACTCTGCAGTGTCCAGACTTTGGAAATACTGGTAAACCTTCGGCTTCCTGAGAATGGCTTCCCCAGCCCACCCTTACCCCACTTCTCCCAGCCCTGCCCTAGACATTGGGTGAGAGAGACAGTTCTCATTCAGGGGAACCTGCTGACCTTCCAGTCCATGGTCTCCATGGTGTTCTTAAGGTGTTTCAGGTTCTCCGAGAGGCTCCCCTTCAGTGGCGGGTATACCTTCAGTGGGTCAGCATTCTACACGGTAGCAGGGCAGGAAGGATGGTTCAAAAAGAGCTCCCTAGCAGGTAGTGTGACATGTGTAGCCCACGTTCCCTTGGTCTTCCATTCTGAGGAATGGATCAGACCTGCACCAAGCCTAAACCCTGGACCTTAGCCATGATGGGATGGGAGGGGAGGGGTAAGAGCAGCCCAGCTATAGAGCTGCAAGACTCTAGGGCTGGGAACCGAGTTTCAGATTCCAGGCCAGCTCTACCAACAAGCCCCAGTCTCCTCCTCCCTGCGGATGGCTGCTCAGCTTTCAGGTCTCACCTGCTCCAGAAGGTGAGGACCCAAACTTGACAGCCCCCAGCTAAGTTGAGTCCTCTGCCTCTTTCCCCACAAAGACCTCTGCACTTCTGTCATCATCTGGTCAATGGTCTGTCTCCTGCACTAGCCTGGGATCCCCATGGCTTCAGGAGCTGGGTCCAGTTGCTCCCCATTGTGGGCCCAGAGCTTTGCACAGTGCCTGGCACAGAATAGACATGCAGTATAAACTTGAGGCCCCAGGAGGAAAAAAAAAAGGTCTTGAGCAAGTCACTTTCAAGCTTTGAGCCTCAGTTTCTTTTTCTTTTTTTGGACAGAGTATCTCTCTGTCACCCAGGCTGGAGTGCAGTGGTGCGATGATCTCAGCTCACTGCAACCTCCACTCCTGGATTCAAGCAATTCTCCTGCCTCAGCCTTCCGAGTAGCTGGGATTACAGGTGCCCGTGACCACGCCTGGCTAATTCTTGTATTTTTAGTAGAGACAGGGTTTCAACATGTTGGCCAGCCTGGTCTCAAACTCCTGACTTAAGGTGATCCACACACCTTGGCCTCCCAAAGTGCTGGGATTACAGGCATGAGCCACTGCACCCAGCCCAGCCTGTTTCTCTATCTCAAAAATGCAGAGGCCAGACTACATAGAACATTTAAGGGTCATCCTTGTATTCAGTAATCCAGAGAGCACATATTGAAGTCTGCCATAAGTCAGGTATACAGGCCTTGGAGCTCGGCCTGGCCAGGGTCCTGGGTGGGCAGACAGGGCCACCCAGCTGGCTCCCTGCACTCACCAGGAGCAGGTGCATCACATGGTCCTCCGTCATGTTGCCATACTTGGTGGCATTCTGCATGGGCTGTGGGAGGAAGGAACAGAAGATTACCAGCACTGGTCCCCAGAGCAGGGGATAGGGGTGGAGCAGAAGCCAGTTGCTGGGATCTAGGTAAGAGTCTGAAATCCCAGGCACTTGGTCAGTGAGTCCATCTCTGCCACCTTCAAACATGAGAGCTCGAGCAGGTCACTTTAGCTTCCTGCCTCAATGTCCTCATTGGTCAAACTGGCATAAGCTTTCCTGCCCAGGATTTTGTCCACAGCACAGTTTTGTGAATAAAAGCATTGTCGATACATGATAGCAAGGGCTTTGAGAATGGGAGGGGACAGTGAGATGCTATGGGAAATGAGTAACACTTTGTAAACTATAGAGGGCTGAGCCTTCTTCCCAGGGATGGCACCAAGAGACTCTTCTTCACCTGCACCCTCCACACCTGGGAAGCCCCATTCTTCCTGAGGCAGGCACTGTGCCTCCCCGAGCAGTCAGGACCCCTCCCCAGCTGGGCTCTCCTCCCTGCCTCTCCCCACCCCTCCCCTTGGCACTGTCCTCCATCCAGGCAGGGTAACCTTGCCACTCTCACCACACTGGGGCTGTCCTTACCTTCTGGGGCAGGCCCGCCATGGGCAGCGCCTGCATCAGCAGTGGGGTGGCCATGCGCATCTGGCTCAAAGGCTTGGCAGCTGTGGGGACAGGGAACAAGGATAAGTGTGGCCCCAGTGCCCAGGGAGGAGGGTATCAGATCCCAGGCCCAGATGAGCAGTGGCGGGGGTCCCAAACCAGAGGAAGAGGACAGTGGCCCCAGCTGGGTGAAGGGATGGCGGCGCCTGAGGTAAGGGACAGTGGGAGGTGAAGGGTGTCAGGACGGAGTGGTGCACTCACGCTTGGGAAGCTTCATGCGCAGGTTCTCCAGCTGCAGGTTCTGGGAGGTGACCGTCAGTTTGTCCAGCCGGCCCTGCTGCTGGTACAGGAAGTAGGCGGTGGCGGCCTGGCCAGCCAGGAGCAGAGCCACCAGGACGGAGAAGACTGTGTACACGGCTCCGCGGCTGCACTTGCTGTGGGAGGTGGGGAGGATAGGTCAGAGGAGAATCCACAGTGGTGGCTGCCCCAAGGGCTGGCTGGCAATGGGGAAATGTATCCTCCATCTCCATCAGCCCCCTAAGCCACCCCTAACAAACAATGCACTTGAAGCACAAACAAGCTGGCTGTGGAAATGCAGCTTGAAGACCTCGCCCCACCCCTCCCTCCAATCACTGATGCACCTGAAGTCCTCCCAGGCAGAGACGGTGCAGCTGCCCCGGGCCTGAGTTGAACAGAGAAGAGCAAAGAGCCACCACATTCCTTGTCCTCTCTGGACTTTCGTGTCCTCCCTTTGCTGTGAGGATCTCCTGAGGATCAGGGCTGCCCTCAAGGGGAACGGGTTTGGTTTTTGTTTTGGTTTTCTACTGGCAGGATCAACCAGGTGTTATTTTTTTTTTTAATTGACAAAAAAAAAAAAAAATTGTATGTACTTACCAAGTAAGAGGAAGGTGGTTTTCACCCCTCTGCCCAACCTCCCACCCCCACAGTGAGATCGGATTAAGGAGAAAGGGAAAGGAAATGGGACCGGGATAGCAGAAAATGTGTCCCACCTGAAAAGGGGAAGTGGGGACTGGCCATTTTAGGGGTGGGTTGGGGGAGCCTTGGCAACGTCAGGCTGAAGCAGGGCCAGGCACCACCCACTCTAGGACCATCCTTTGCCCAAGCTCTCCATGTGTCTTTGAGCATGTCCCTGCCAATCTGTGTGCCTCTGTTCCCTCACTTGTCACATAGGTGCCCTTCACCTCTGCAATTCTGGGATTTGGTAGGCTTCTTCTTTTAAGCAAGATCTCACTGCCACCGCCAAAGTATTTCAAATGGTAATATCCACCCCGCAGGGCGTGGGCAGGGGTCTAGGTACCTGAGCCTGCGTGGCCTGGATGAATTTCTCATGCTCCCTGGACTCACCAACCAGACCCTCAGACCTCAGTGAGCCCTTGTATCTGTGGGCCTTGGATGTGATTATGGGGGTGCATTCTATGTTACAGTACAGGGGGCTATAAGGATCCTGCCCCTGTATCTTGGGAGTTTCTGATCTGTTCTTTGACTCACCCCAGGGGTGGGACTACTAGGACCCTGCTATGGTTTGAAGGTGTCTCCTCCAAAATCCAGGTGTTGCCAATGTGAAGGTGTCGAGGTGATCGGGCCATAAGGGCTTCTCTCTCATGAATGGGATTATGTGCCCTGTAAGAGGGCTTGATGAATGGCCGGGTGCAGTGGCTCACACCTGTAATCCCAGCACTTTGGGAGGCCGAGGCAAGCAGATCACGAGGTCAGGAGATCGAGATCATCCTGGCCAACATGGTGAAACCTCGTCTATACTGAAAATACAAAAATTAGCTGGGCATGGTGACGCATGCCTGTCATCCCAGCTACTTGGACGGCTGAAGCTGGAACATCGCTTGAACTAGAAAGTAGAAGGTTGCAGTGAACTGAGATTGCACCACGGCACTCCAGCCTGGCGACAGAGTGAGACTCTGTCTCAAAAATAAAAATAAAAGAGGACTTGATGGAAGGAATTGGTTCTCTCTTGTCCTTCTGCCTTCCACCATGTGAGGACACATCAAGGAAGCCCCTCACCAGGCCGGGCACAGTGGCTCACACCTGTAATTCCAGCACTTTGGGAGGCTGAGGTGGGTGGATTACTTGAGGCCAGGAGTTGAAGACCATGTTGGTCTCAAGTAATCCACCTGCCTCAGCAAAACCCCGTCTCTAAAAAACATACAAAAAAAATTAGCCATGCATGGTGGCACGCACCTCTAGTCCCAGCTACTCAGGAGGCTGAGGTGGGAGAATCACTTGAACCTGGGAGGCAGAGGTTGCCGTGAGCCAAGATTGCTCCACTGCACTCCAGCCTGGGTGACAGAAGGAGACTGTCCCAAAAAAAAAAAAAAAAGAAAGAAAGAAAGCTAGGCTGAGTGTGGTGGTTCACGCCTGTAATCCCAGCACTTTGGGAGGCCGAAGCAGGTGGATCACTTGAGGTCAGGAGTTTGAGACCAGCCTGGCCAACATGGTGAAACCCCGTCTCTACTAAAAATATAAAAATTAGCCAGGCATGGTCTTGGGCACCTGTAATCCCAGCTACTCAGGAGTCTAAGGCAGGAGAATCACTTGAACCTGGGAGGTGGAGGTTGCAGTAAGCCGAGATCACACCACTGCACTCCAGCCTGGGGAACAGAGTGAGACTCTGTCTCTAAAAAAAAAAAACAACACACACACACACACGCACACACACACACAAACACACAAAAAGAAAGCCCCTGCCGGGCGCGGTGGCTCAAGCCTGTAATCCCAGCACTTTGGGAGGCCGAGGCGGGTGGATCACGAGGTCAAGAGATCGAGACCATCCTGGTCAACATGGTGAAACCCCGTCTCTACTAAAAATACAAAAATATTAGCTGGGCATGGTGGTGCGTGCCTGTAATCCCAGCTACTCAGGAGGCTGAGGCAGGAGAATTGCCTGAACCCAGGAGGCGGAGGTTGCGGTGAGCCGAGATCGCGCCATTGCACTCCAGCCTGGGTAACAAGAGTGAAACTCCGTCTCAAAAAAAAAAAAAGAAAGAAAGCCCCTCCAGAGCTGTGAGAAATAAATTGGTTTTTGATAAATTACACAGTCTGTAGTATTCTGTTAAAGTGGCACAAAATGGACTAAGACCCACTGGGGACTGCCAGGATGAGGCTACACCCTGCCTACTCCAGCCACCAGCAAGGATGGTTTAGGAAACTCCAGGAGACCTTTCTGCCTGGTAACCCATGACATCACAGACTGGCTCATTCTCATTGGCTTGCCGCTTGCCAGTCTGTGCTTTCTGGGCTAAGGTCCAGTCCAAGGGAGAGTTATTCTGGAAGGAAACAGCAAAATCCCAACACGGGGAAAGCGGAGAGACCAGACAGGATGGGAAAACAAATTCTACTTCTTGACCTTCCCAAGAAACAGGGGTACCCTGGCCTGAGTTCAGGCTCTCCAGCCTTATCCTCCACCTGTTCAGTGCTTCTGCAACCCACACACAATTCTGGTCCCAGCTCTACCTCCCGCATGTGACATGGGGAAGTACCTTCCCCTCTCTGCACCACAGTTCCTCAGGAGGCCTAAGAAGCTAGAGATTCACCCCGAAGACAAGACCACATAACCTGGATTGGAATCCTGGCTCTGGAGTCCTTGAGTTCTGGGACCATCTAAGTTGCTAACCCTCTGTGTGAGTAAAATCGGGTAAGAACATCTGCTCCAAAGGCTGTTACGTTAAATCAGATGATGAGGGTAAAGCTCTTGGCTCCACACCTAGCACATTGTTAGCACTCTATAAATAAATTACACTCAGTGAGATTCTCAGGGGAGTTCGTAGTTAAGTTTAGCATCTGCTTTTCTTCCTCTTTATGCATCTTGAACGCCTGTCCCCTGGTTCTGGTAGAGTGCCAACTCTTGTCACCCCCCCCCCTTTATTTCCTCATTTACACTACCTTCTTCTGGAATTTTAAAAAAAACAACAAAAAAAAAAAACCCAAAGTCAGGAGCCAACCAGAGCTACCAAGAATCATGACACAGGTGTTGCCAGGCAGAAGTGTTCACAAAAGCCTCCAAAACAGGCTCCAGCCTGGAATGGCCTAAGCACACATGGCCAGCTTTAGAAGCAGTAACTGAATAAAGAGAAAACTAGACAAGGATTAGACAAGGGGTCATGCTCTCTGAACACTGAGCCCACCTGGGTCTGTAAGTCACTGGGTGATCTGAGCTCAGAGGGATCCCACCTCCCTGTCCCACAAAATGCACCTCTAAAAGGGAGCTAGATGGAGGCGTGAGCCCACACCTTGATATCAGACTAGTCCTGGTTCAAATTCTGCTTCCAACCACTCACTAGCTATGATTACTTGGATAAGTCACTTGCCAATGTGAGCCTCAATTTCCTCTTTTGTAAAAAGGGACCACAAAATTACCTAACTGATAGGGTGACTGTGAGAATTAAAATTGAGGTTGGCCTTTAGGTATGTGTCCTACAAATAATCACAGCACTAACTAATAGTGGCTGAGGCCTGGTGACAGGTACACAGTGGATGGGAACTATTATGGCTATTATTATTACTGAGACTCACGGAGAGGCAGTGATTTATCCAAGGTTACCCATGGCCTAGACCAGAATCCAGTTCTCACAAAGAAGTCTGCCCCTCTTGCTGTGGGATTCCCTGGGGTTTTCACAGGCCACAGCTCTAATGGTCTGCATCGAGTTACCTTGTTCCCTAGAACATAGCTTGTCATAACATCTCTTCAGGGCTCTCTCAAACCCCTTTCTGCCTGGCAACAGCTGACATCACACCTAGCTGTAAGTCCCTGGAGATTCCAAATAGCTTTTTGGAGACTGGGGGTAGCAGGGGCATTGGGGTAATAGCCTTCTAGCCCTTTTTTAGGGAAACACACGGGTGAGGCTATTTAGGGGCTGGGAGGCGGGACCTGGGGTCCTCTGGATGGCTCTGCTGGCCTCTGGCTGCAAGGGAGAGGGGCACAGGCAGGGACATGACCCCCGTCAACCCTGAGCCCCCTCCAGAAATTTAATCAGATCCTGTCTCTCCTTTCTTGCCTGCCCCCAGCATCTCCCAATCCCTCCTGTGATGGCAGACGTCTCCATCTACTGTACAGACACCTGCAAGTATCATTCCCCGATCCGTGGTAACCAGGAGGGAACTCTGCGAAGAACTGCTTCTACCATCCTCTTTCAGAAGCCCTGTTTCTCAGCTGGGTGTGGTGGCTCACTCCTGTAATCTCAGCACTTTGGGAGGCTGAGGCAGATGGAGGCAGGCAGGTCACGAGTCAGGAGTTCAAGACCAGCCTGACTAACATGGTGAAACCTCATCTCTACTAAAAATACAAAAATTAAACGGGTGTGGTGGTGTGTGCCTGTAATCCCAGCTACTCAGGAGGCTGAGGCAGGAGAATCACTTGAACCCAAGAGGCGGAAGTTTCAGTGAGTTGAGATTGCACCACTGCACTCCAGCCTGGGTAACAGAGCGAGACTCGGTCTCGAAAAAAAGCAAGAAAGAAACCCTGTTTCTCCACTGGGATCTTGAACATTTTCAAAGTCTGTTCCAAGGTGTTTATTTTTATTTATTTTATTTTTTAAGACACAGTGTTACTCTGTTGTCCAAGCTAGGGTACAGGGGCACCATCTTGGCTCACTGCCAAGGTGATTCAAGTGATCCTCATGCCTCAACCTCCCAGGTAGCTGGGGCTACATGTGTATACCACCACACCTGGCTAATTTTTGTATTTTTAATAGAGATGGGATTTCAACATGTTGGCCAGTCTGTTCTCAAACTCCTGGCCTCAGGTGATCTGCCCACCTCAACCTCTCAAAGTGCTGGGATTACAAGTGAGAGCCACCACGTCCAGCCTGGTCCAAGGTCTTGAATCTAGCATTCACGGCCCAGCCTCAGGGGGGTCTGCAAGCCCCTGGATAGCATGTGAAACTCTAGGGAGAGAATCCAGGCTCTCTTCTGCTTATCAGAAGGAGGGAGTCTGATGCAAGGAAAGTTACAAACTCCTGCTCTAAAGGAACCCCATTTGCCAAGAGAGGGAGCGGGAACCCAGAGCAGGCCAAAGACTTGCTCAAAATCACCCAAAAAGTTAATGTTAGAGCCGGAGCCTGAATCCCTCTTTCCTGTGACTCCTGGCCAGTGCTTCTTCCAGCACATGCGCACAGCTCTGCAGTCCAGGATTTGTGTGCCCTTTCTTGGTGCTCACACGTACCTCTCAGGGGCTCCAGGGCGCTGGCCCAGCATGGGCAGTTGCTCATTGTTGGAGATAAGGTCGCGCTGGTCGTCCATGACTCTGGCTTCTGATCTTCCCAAGTTCCTGCTGCTGCTGCTGCTGCTGCTGTGTATGTGGAACCCTGAACCCCTGGCTCGCCTCTTAAAGTTGGTGCTGGGGAGAAATCTGATTCGTCCACAGGAGGCCACTCCCCCCACTTGGTAGATGTGGAAGTGAAAGCCACATAGCTGGAAATACCCCACTTTGGTGAAGCTGCCTTTTGCGGGGCAGGATGTGGAGCAGGGGTGCTCCCCAGGCAGGTAGAAAGGCCAGCGTGATCCCATTGGCTGCCCAAGGCCCTCATCACTTGTTTCTGGGCAGACCTTTGGATTCATAAGGCCCTTCGGATGCTTCAAGAAAACAGGCAAATGTCCACTCCCTAGACAGGAAAGCACTTTGAAGCAGAAGACGCCTTTGTTTGCCGCCCCTTCTCATCCACAGATGAGTGGTTGCAGAAAGGAGCTGTGCCCCCTCCGTGAGCTTAGACAAGCCCTCTTCTCTAGCCTCAGTTATGTCGTCTCAAAAATGCGGAGGAAGTATGGACTACCTGCAGGGGAAAAAGCATTTCTTTTCTTTCCCTGTTTAGGTTCTTGGTTGAGACACTTTCCTAAAAACAAAAGTTAACAAAAGAAAAACCAGCCAAAGTTTATTAACACGTGCTGTACCCATCATGCAGGAGAGGCCTCAGTTGAAAAGTATTTCTCTCTCAAGGCAGTGGCTTAGGGGTCTTGCTTAAGTAGTATTTTAACAAAGAGCCATAAGTCCCACAGAGTGATAGGACAGAGAAGAGGATATCTTCAGGGTCCCAAAAGGAGGGAAATGTAGGAAGACAAATGTACGGGAAGAGCCAAGTCTGATCCGGATCCTCTGAGCTCTGCTTCTGAGCTGATCAAGGCAGAGAGGAGGCGCAGAGGGTACCCCTGGGTTTTATCTTTTTACCTTTAATTAAAATTCGCAGGGTTTTAGAGAGGAAGATTTTGGTTTCCTTCAAACCGAAGAGTCCGTGGTTTTAAGGCTATGGCACTCAGACTTGCCTCC